GGTTGACAGTAATTCCATTGCATGAAATGAAGTAAGTGAGGAATTCATGAATTTCTGTGTCAATTTCTTTTCCTGTGTGCTGTGTGAAATGCTATGGTATTTCATGCAAATCTGCTACGCAAATCTCCGCAGTATCTTGTAATCCTTCATCGTCCCTCGCAACATCCACCCGTATTTTCTAATCCTTCATCGTCCCTCGCAACATCCGCCCGTATTTTCTAATCCTTCATCGTCCCTCGCAACATCCACCCGTATTTTCTAATCCTTCATCGTCCCTCGCAACATCCACCCGTATTTTCTAACCCTTCATCGTCCCTCGCAACATCCACCCGTATTTTCGAACCCTTCATCGTCCCTCGCAACATCCACCCGTATTTCTAAGCCTTCATCGTTCCATGGAACATGGGCTTGTATCACGTTAACCATCATCCTAATACGCCATTCACTGTTTCATTATAATTAATTCGTCAGTAAATCTTGAGGTAATCCCATTCTCATTAATCTGCTCAAACGAATATTTGGCATAAAATCGCAGGATCCACTATCAATATTTGTGTACCTTGCTCTAATTTCTTCCCCGTCATTTGTTACTAAATTATTCATCAGTATTTAAAATTCAAATTGCCTTGATATTGAAGAACAGTATGAAATATGTAGCATTCATCGTGGTCAAAATTATCAAATAATTGAACTTCTTTCTCTTTGCTCAGCACCAATGAGCTTAGCTTGAATTTCTTAGCTCATTGGTGACCAATTAACAATAACTGTGTGAACAATTAACCTTAATTTCATAACAAAGTTGTTTAGCCAAATCTCAATTCACGTCAAATACGGCTAACTTTTTTTTCCGTTTCCCGCGCGGTTTTTCGTTTCCTGACATCGAAAGAATCTGCGGTGTTTATTAAATCTCAATATTTTTCTGTCCACATAAAATTCTAGGCCTTTTGGTATAGCTGAGAATTTAGTGGATTTTTTATAAACCTCCAACCAAGAACTATTTATAACAATGGTGCAAAATTTCTAATTATGGTCGTCCTGACAGTAAACATATAGAGATATTGAACATTCAAAAAGATTTCATATTTAACATATTAAAATAAAGAATTTAAATGTTTTTTTTTGTGGTACAACAAACTCGCCAAATTTCCTAAAACGAACATTTTTGACCAATGTCTTTTTCTACTCGCCTGTTTTATGTTATTTTACGAGACGGTTTATGTCAATAATTATCTTAAATTAAATGTTTACTTAAGTTTACTATCAAACGTTTACTTATCGTCATAGTCAACCGCCAAACGAAATAAAGTCGCTTATAAGCAAACTAACGGGCATAAACTGAGTTTTCATTACTACATAAATTCAAGCATTCAATCAAGTTATCTAATAACCTTATACATAATCCGAATTTTACCATAAAAATTTATCTTAGTAAATGCAAGTATTTACTGCTAGCTGTCTTAATATTTCCATTTGATATAAAAACAAATTGCTAATATTAATTCCCACAAAATAGGGTTAACCTGCATTAGACAGCTTCATTTTCAACTATTAGAGCGTTCCACTTGCATCATAATTACAACCAACACAACTCAATGGTTACACTTCATCATCATCATCATTGCGTGCCACATAGGATGGTGTCGCAACATAGTACAGTGCACATATAGTGTAACGAGCTTTTAGCCTTTACAATCATTATGTTAGTCACTATAATACAACCATCACCGTTAAAATAATTGTAGGCATTTCTTTCATGAGTAATGTTACAATTAGAAATTATTGATTGTATTAGTACAAAAAATAGTTTGTATCGGCTTATACAAACGATTTATGACATAATGAATATATTTTACTTAGACTTAAAGATGTATATTTCTAATTTTAACCTTTAGACAATACTTGAAGTATATTCTAATGCCTACTTTACACCGGATGCGTTCATATTTTTTACAAAAAGTTAACATCTTAGTTTATGCATCGACGGTTTACAGTCTCCATTCTCTTGTTTTTTTTATCGTATTTTGTTTAATATTTATATTCATTTATAATGTTATATATTTGTATTTTTAATACTGATATTCATCCGCAATTATTGTCAATTCGCTCGTGTATTCTATTCGTTTGATTTGTTCATTCATTTTATTTCTCGTTATAAATCTTTAAATCACTAATATACCCTTTATATATATAGTGCATAGATCGTTATTGAACATGAACTTTTAATTTCAATTTTAATTTCTATTACAATGCTGCATTACACTTCTCGTGACCGAGTCACATGTGCAATGATATTGTATCACAGTAACATATACTATGATACTAAATGACAGCTAAATTTACGTCATATTCACATTTGCAGTGTAACTGCACACCAAAAATAACACTATATATTACTTATCAGCAACAATTTATAGGCCACACTGAAATTGAAAAATTAGATCGTCAATCATAAATTTTCTCCACCCAAATCCGAGCACCGACTGAAAATCCAACCCAAGTTAATGTAGGGTCTCTTCCCCATTAACAATCCCACCTCCTCCTCAACTTCACGCCATCTTCATGAGCATTGACTATATTTGTATTAATATTGAATATTTAAAGTGAAATGTAAATTTATTAAAGACTTCAGTGTTGATTATTTTATTAATTCACTGATTTCATGCCACGCAAACGTGAATATTTTTTAATATGGAATCTTTGCTGCAAATTTTTTTGTGAAGCTAAGTTGACTTTTGCATTCAGCCTCAAGAGACATGAACAAAATTCTAACCAAACAATCAAAACTTTTAGATATTGTTATAAAATACACGACAACACTAGCACAAGATGCATGACAACACTGACTAAAAAGAAACGAAAATCTAATGAACAATTCCTTTGATATCTTTGAATCAAAGTACACAGTAATCCTACATAGAAATCAAGTAATTTAATCAATACATAAATAGTAACCAAGTATAAACCATCAATTATCAAGTTCATACAAATTTGACTCACTTTACATCATTCTGTGTAACTTTTAGAGATTTGATTCAAAATAGCTATATTTTCTTCATTTTGAAGTCATTTAATCTAATATGCCATTGATATAAGTCATTGATCTAATGAATCTAATATAAATTTATTACGTTTTCTTCCTTGTATCGCTGATCAAACGATGTAATAATGAATACATCGTCAAGATCGTATTCATTATTCAAGATCAGCCAAGAAAATGACTGAGAAGAGGTTTTGAAAAGATTGATCGCTATAAATAATATGAATTACATTTTAATGACTAAATATGTTGATTTTGACAAGAAAATAAAACTTTATCGCTCCCAAGTCAATTTGTCTCAAAATTAAATTTTGCCATTTGATTGATTTGAATTTATTAGGCTTTTTTACATAAAGTTTTCAATGATTAAATATCAGTTCAGCGTTATCGCTCAGAGATATCTAATATTTTTACATAATAAATTAAATCTCGATTAAAAATTCTGAATGAATATTCTTACTAATAGAACAACACTTAAAAAACAAGAAATGCACAGGCATCCAACTTTCCTATTCATTTCATCAACAATCTATCCTCGTACATTTTCCAATTCATCTATTCTGATTTACCCATAATTCAGTGTATCATGCTAACTTTGATCAATCATAATTTAAAACCTCAATTAATCTCAATCTCAATCACTCAGTAATCGTTCCAAAATCACACACCATCATTGATCTTCAAAATATTGGTTATATTATCAAATAAGTTGTTGAAAAGTAATTAATAGCATAAATTTCAATTCTTTTTTCAAATTCATGGCTTATTCATTCACGCATTTATTTTATATCATTAAATTGTGCTCGGAAAACCTATGAACTAAATGCCATGGTTTGAATATGTCAATTGTTCTCCATCGTGCGACTGATTTTGACTTGTTTAATTCCACGTAGCTTTTGAAAATTTAATATATTGCAGCTTTTCCATCTGTCGTGATAAGCATGTAAAGTTGTGTAGCTGCTGAGCCTGCATGCTTTCAAATTACTTACGGTAAATAATTTAAATCCAATTACTTACGGTACGCACGGACAGTTATTTCATGTTTTACATCGCATTATCGTTGTTACGTTTTTTAGAGTCAGAGACTTGAGAATATTTTACATTTTTCTCAATCAAAGGCCCCAGAAAAGTCTTAACCTTATCGCTGTAGTTTCGTTATAGTAATTACGGTATGGCTTTCATCTGTTGGTGCTCTCATCCTTTGATTATGGGTGTCGTCGTGCCAGTATTGCATGTCAAGATATTATTAACAATTAGTATATAGCGTTCGAGTGTCATAATTGTATTTTGGTGTTTAAGTGTTCTCTTATGTTCATCTATTACTGAATAATAATGTTTTAGCTTAAAATTTTCGATGCTAACGATAAAAACAGAAGTCTGCGTTTTTTGTTCTAAATTACCAGCTAAACGCATTTTGTACAATAAATCAGTCACCATCAGATTAGTCTTAGTAAACATTGGTTTAAGAAAACCAGAATCTTTGACGACTACAAAAAGTTTAACCAAGATCTTAGCCGAGTGATTATGATCATCAAAATTAGAGCAGAGTTGAGGAGTTGAAAACTCGCTAATAATTATGAAAATTCTGGTCGAAATCGGCAATGTGGCAGGCTGGTTAAGAATAGGCGATAGGCTACATGTCCTTATTGAAGCTTTCCCACTATCTATATCGTTAATATAATTATATTATATCATTATAATAATATTCATAAATTAGGAGGAGCAATACTAATAAGACTTGTATATATATTTCCCTTTATCTTTTTATATTATTATAATAATATTCATACATTAGGAGTAGCAATACTAATAAAACTTGTACATATATACCATCCATCCAACATGGCAGCCAGAAAGCTCTTCCCTGAAGTTCGTTTTCGTGAACGCGCGCAAATTTTTAGTTTCCATGCGCGCGTGGCGACCGAGAGCAAAAAGGTAGCGTGCATGTTTCATTTTTTCCAGCGATCGACCTGCTGAATTCTGTGAATCTGGTGACACGTCCACCGCGCTCTCCACGCCGCCCTCACGACCACAACACGAGGTAGAAACGAGCATGGATTTGGTCCTATGAAACGGGTTACGGATCATCTCAAATGATAAATGTGGTAAAGGCTGATGAAGAAACGGGGCGTGCATAATCAGAAAATGGAAAACGGAACGGTATTAGAGGCATGGCTGATTAGAGAACGAAAACGGATGCTTTAAACGATGTAATGAAAATGGGGCACTCCAAATGCGCTGAATTGAAAACGGGGACGTTCCTAATTAGAAAGAGGATATGGGTCATTTCTACTGATAGAATGAAAACAGAGAAAACCAAATTATGAAAAAATAACTGGAATAACTTAAAGGCATGAATTACACCTCATGTTAAACTTGATACGAAAATTGAGGCCGCAATATGTGGCATACTTTATTAATGAAAGTTGTCTGATGTCACACAGATATACTATCAATCCTGTTACTATAGGATGTACCTAGCAAACCGTTCACTATTGTCACTAAACTATCATTATTTTTCAATGTTATACTTTTATTGTTTGATGTTTTTCAGTACTAACAATGTAGTGAATAATATAGTGACCGTCCTATTATGTTGGGTTTATCTTAATGCTATTGAGCTAAAATATCAATGATCATTCCTGAAGTTTGCTTTCTAACATGGCATTTCTCACGAGTTTCTGGCCACTGCCGGCATGCAGAAAGCGTTTCATTTGAACTGAATTTGAATTTAACTTGTAAATTTCAAACTGTATTTGTATTTCAGATCCAACATTTCTAACCGAATTTTAATTTCAATTCCCAAATTTCGAAATAAATTTGAACTTCACTTCAAAAATTTGAACTGAATTTGAATTTAATTTAAAAATTTTGAACTTAATTTTAATTTCACTGATAAATTTGGAGTCACATTTTTTTGGACACCCGCGATTTAAAAATGGCTGCCCATTTCGATTCATGCTCATGACATTTTTTTAATAGTTAGTTAATTGCGTTCAGATCAAATATCGATTCCTAAGAACCGATGCTTTCGGAAACACGGAATTCTTGTTAATGTGACACGAAAATTCATATACCTCTTATACCTGCCACTTTTGCAGACGTTGTAAAAATATTTGTGTTTAATAATGGAGAAACATACATTTTCTCCGTAGGGAATTAAACATTTTTTTCCTGTGTAAGTTGAGTCGATGACGTTGCTTTCATTGTTAGCGTGAATCATACTGACTTCAGTGTAATTCAATAAATTTTTGCGGCTTGAAATTCGCGTTTAAAAGGAAGGTGAGGAGGGGGATTAAACATAAGCAGTTAATTACGTAGGAAGCCACAATCAATAGTGAATAATTAAATAAAAATTAATAATTCGTATTGATCGCTAGGATTGTTCAGTTGAATTCTGCTTAAATTTCGGAAAAATTTCGTGAACAAATTTTAAGCTTGTGTTTTTGGCTCAGTTTGCCATTTTGCATGAAAAAACTTCGTAATTGCTGAATCTAATCTAAGTTTTATTGAGTTATTTATAACAATCTAATGCGTATGGAAATTAGAGAAATGTAATCGATGCAATTTTTTCATACTTATAGAATGTTAAAATCAACATACGAAAATAATAATATTGTCTCACTGCTGGTGACTGATAAGAGATTTAATCAAATAATAATAAACTGTTTCAAAAAATTCATTCGCGCAAGCGGAATTTAATTTATAATTCCGATACCATCGATATTCCAAGATTCGTTTTTTATATTATTAAAATCTAAAATTAACATTGCTAAATTAGACAATTAGTAATTATATTTAATTTCATTTTATTCTAAAAATCTTGTGATTTTTACATTTTCATCCATATATATTGAAATAATCGTTCTATCGTATTTAAGGGTATTCTTCAATAGTTCTTTTGTTGTATTTTAAGCTACTAAAATTATTTACATTCTTCTTGCGTTATCATACATTAAAATTTTTATTATTATGGGATTACTGAATAAATTCATCGTTTATTGCAACAAACTTCACCGGTTTTCAAGTCATCACAATTTACAGAATTTTATTTATTTATGCAGAGGTAAACCCTGGCGATGTTTCATTGTTCTTTACCGTGTGGTTTCGGGTAATTAATATATTGATTATTTTCCTTTCTGTTTTTTGATTTGTACATGTGTTAATTTTTAAATTTCTAATATTCATACACTGATGATAATAAAATATATAACGAGTTCACAAAAATTAAAAAAAGTATTAAAGGTGAAATTATCTCATTGACTCTTCACTGAATTGTGAACATTCCCCGTTAGACGTATACTTGAATATTCACTGCCTAGAATTACCTTAAGTAAAGGAAGAGCGACCGATTCTAACTATATAATAAAACATTTTATTGTGCTGAGCAAACATTATTCATTTGAATGCCGTATACTTTAGTTTTAAACTTTGACTTGCTTGTTGCTTCTGTCATGCCTACAATATTATAACCTTCTTAATTATATAATTACTTATTAGTTCAACATACCACGTACAACCAAGTCACAAACATGTAAAATCCCACACCAACAAAATAGAAATTACCCACACCAAAACGAAGCCAATAATATCCTCAACTATCAATACTGATACAATTAAACACCTTGATACTAATAACAATTTTTTCTTTGATACTAATGAAACTGTCAGTAAGTACCGAGATAATGCTATTAATTAACAAGATTAGGTAATGAAACTTAACGAAATTCATTCGTGGTTCAAGTTTCGAAAAATATAGAATTTTTTGGGCATAGATTGCGTGTAATTCCCACAAATCATGCATCCTTTTCCCTTATTTTAAGTGACCCATTCATTCCTGTCCCAAACATACCCATTATCCTTTCCTTGCAGTTAATGAAATTAACAAGATGAATGAGAAAACTTTCTCCCTTTGCTTCAATTTTTATCCTCAAACGTGTATAATGAATCCTTTAATTCTAGTATACTAACATCGGGCAAACTCTGCCCATCCTCTGAAAATGAATGGAATGAAATTGATAGATTGAAATTTAACGTTTTCGAAATGCACTGCACTTCACAGCATTTCCTGAACCTTGCGTTACTCAATAGCTCACTTTATTGTGTTGCGTGTAAACCCATTCAGAATAACAATTGTTGAGATGACCCAAGATGAGTCATGGCATGAAAGTGAGGCAGGGAACCGATGAAGTGCATCATCATGAGAACGAGCGACGGGTTTGTCAACACGCAGAGAAATGAATGGGTAATATTGTCCAAATATAGACACACTATATAAATAAATAGTGAAACGTAGCACTGACATGCCTTTTTATCGGGCCAAACTAGGTCATGATAACCTACACAAGGGCAAAAATTGCATCACTATTTGTACGTACTCCCTGCCATTTCTATGAGTGTGTCAAAGCGAACGTGACTCACATTTTTCAGTTTCAGGAAGCCTCTATACAAATCATGTCGCAATACAACTGTGTTGATGTGTTGATCGTGTGTGCATGGTTCAGTGTAATAATGATCCTGTGTTTATGCTATGTGTCGATTAAACTAATGCGATTTTCATTAAATATATTTAAAACAAAATAGAACTCGAAAATTGGAATTAAACTGAAATGAATTTGGACGCGAATCAATTAATTTAGAGTTTCGTTTTCAGGATAAATTTTTTCTTGAAAATTTGAGATTTGTTCAATGACTTCGAAAGATTCGGCACTTCCATTCTTATTTAACATCAGTTCTTGTACGCTTAATTAGGCTCGCTCATTACGAGCTACACGTCAAGAGATAAACGAAACGCATGCTTAAAAATGCTTGTTTTATTATGGTTATTGAAAGTTATTACAAAATAATGAATGCGCCTCATTAAATGAAAAGATTAAAGAGACTATTGAAGGCAATGTACCTTCAATACGGGGATTTATGTGATCATTTTCAAGCTAAGCACCGACAATTTTTCCATAGTGATTTAAATGGTAACAATATTTCTTCTAGGTTAAAATGCCGAAAATTCTCCATACGGGTTCAAATGACAAAACTTTTCTGCACGGGTTCAAATGCGGAAAAAGAGTTCAGATGGTTAAACTTTTTTTCATGGAAACTTGTAAAATTTCATTTCCCAGGAACTAAATTTATCTCACATGTTTTGACAGTTATTATAAATAAATTCATATCATAAACACAAAATTAACAAATTGAATTTATGAAACTCCCCCACCGAAAGTTTTTTTAGTTGACTCTATTGCTGGTTTCTTGGTTCGTATATTGCGGTAAATTACATACATTATATGTATTATTTATCTCCCAATAATTTTGATCAATTCATTTTACCAGGTAATTTAAACATCAGGCTCTTCTAAAAACAATTGTGATATTTAAAAAAAGCGAACATCTACCGTGCTTTTCAACGTGCACTGCCATTACGGTCTGGAAAAGAAGATAAGATTAATTCGTTAGCTAATAACATTTATTTTTAAAATTTGGATCGTTTATTCTTGTGATACTAGAAAACAAGAATATGAATTTATTAAAAATATCACATAATTTCTTGATGTTCTCATCATTCCTAATTTCTGGATGGTGTTGCATTTTTGTTGTGTTCATGTCGTGAGCTTGATGAACGTTTCCTGCTTTGCTGCGTGCTGATTCCCCGTAACTGTTATTATTATCACTCCACTTATCTAAATATTTTTTATATTTGAATGTGCGTGTTCTTTTCCTTCACATAGTAAAAAAAAAACAAAAACCTTATTTACACATTAACAATTCTTCAGTTAAAAAAACTGTTATTTACTTAATTAAACTTATTAACGTTACTTTACAGCACCCATTAAAATTTTTCCCTCGAGTTAAATCTAATATCATGACTCATTTAGTGTTACTGCTTCTAAATGTGTGTGCCAACACGAGGAAATTTTATTCTTTACTAATGCATGCTGAAAAGAATATGTATACAATCATACATCAAGAACATAGACTGAATTGTGTTGAAGAAAATTTAGGTCCCGTGAAAAATATTCGATCAAAGTCAGAAATAATAAAAAAATTTGAAAAAGGACATGTGCGATTAACATTTTTCTTTTTACTTATCAGATTTACCACAGTGTATTTTAATTTTTATGTAATTGAGGAGTTTAATGCAATATAGAAATGTTGAAATGTGACACTTTCACGATATTTTATAAATGGACAATTTTTGACGTACATTAGCCATTTTGTGTGCCACTAAATGTCTCGTTTTTTCCCAAGCAGCAACGTTCAATGAAGAGGGATCACTCATCTATCAGAAGATCTAAAGTCTACAGTTGTGAACCACACTCTATACGAACCATTTATCAGACGATCCAAAGTCTACCGGATGTTAACCACCCAGCCCCTGCAAATCTACCACAGCAAACACCGATATAGCCAACTAGACAACAAGTAATAACAACAACACATTTGAAATATGGTAGCAAATTTCTGGACGAGAAATTAGCTGCTTACGCTATGCAGTATGTTGTTTGGAAATATATTGACTGCCTTTGGAATAAAACTTGTTCTACCGATTTTGGAAAGAACGTCAAAAATTCTCTTAGTAATACTACTGTAATACTAAACGTCACTCATGTAAGTAAATAGCATGTATTTCTTCAAAACTCTTTTAGAAACTGACAGTCACACCTAGCCTAATCAAATTGGTGACTAAAACTGTATAATAAGATCTGTCAAAACTTGAATTTTCACTTGTATTCGGAATGTCATGTCTAAATTCTGACGTGTGAAATTAAGCTTGCAAACCATTTTGCATTCAGTAAAGTAAACACTTCCATACGAACCATCTTCCTCTTCCATCTGCATGGTTGAAGTTTCATTCTTGTCTCATATTAGAATTTTCAATCTATGTTAATTTCCACGATTACTGTAGGTGTTTAAAATTTTTCTTATGAGATCACTTTACGCAATGAATCAATTTCTCTCGTAATTGTGTATTCATTTGAAAACAAATGTCTTATTGCTCCTGTGTTATTATGTATCGATGTTTCATAGAGAGACCATTTATCCGAAACTGTTTTTGGTTTATAAATGACTTCGCAGTTGGTTGATATGGAGTGAATTTCTTTGCCAATTGCGTAACAAGCCTTATGGTTAGTTGATATAGAGGCGCAAGCAGGTTGGAACCCGATCAAACTTATTCTATTTGTTGTTGTTGTTATATACCCGCATGAACATTAATAAATATTTCTCGTGTACCATTTCCACTTAACTTGTATCGTTGAGATGTTCTTGTATCCTTCAAACACCTCGGAGCTAGGGAGCAGAACATGCATCGCTGTGATAATGTTTCTTCAATCTATTCACAAAGCCGAGCAAAATTTTATTCTTTTCGATAAACAACAACTACATTTTACACTTTTTAGTGTCAGGAAATGAATTCGAATTGTCGTGCAAGAGATTCATTCATGAGTAATGTCATGTATCGCGATATATATATATGCGAAAAATTATGCGAAGAGCTGAGTATTCGGCTTCACAATTATGCATTGCCATATCTGCCAGCGTAGATCTTAAGGGTAGGGTTCAGCAACACTGTAATATATATACCCATAACACTGATATTGAATTAATCACTTTTAAAATGCTTTGCCGGTTTCATAAGTCGTAATTGGAGCGTAAATATATGATATGATAATTAAAAAAATGGCAATGATGGACTTTTGTGATTTAAATGCATGTTAAAATTCCTAATAACGTTTACCGATGGCTGTTATTTGTTATCATTTGATCGCTGTTATTTGTTCTCATTTGAACGGCCTGAGTTAATGGTAGCGATATTTGATATTATTAGCAATATACAACGGCTGAGTGACGAATGTGCATTCAGACGACCTGTGTGGGAACCTTTCTTTCGTTTGTTGTTGGAACTTTCCATACAGAACAAGACTTGAGTTATTCAAATCGATAATCGACTTTAATATTCGAATGATTTTTGAATAAACCACGATAGTTATAATAGTTATAAACCCTATTATCCTATCATTCAAATGTTTTCATTTACCCTAATATTTTTTGTCAGTTCCCAAACGTAAGTCAAAGCAATATATGCTTAATTTATATCGCTCTAATAAATGGATTAAGCAAGAATATTTTATACTTTAAATGCTCAATTGCCATACGTTGCTATTTCGCAAAATAATTGATAATTTGAAAATTAAAATCATAGGAGAAATTAGGAATATTCTTAGACCTGAAATTATCGTTCTCTTTAATTGTAATGCATAACTTTTATTTATATTGCCTCGGTTATTCATCATATTAATGTATAAACATAGTCTCTAGAATCTAAGTAAAGTTCAGCATTAAAGTGTTCACCTGAGAATGTTATTCATGGTGAACGCTATAAAATTTCTCGATAGGAATGTCTCACTTGCTTTAACTCTGAAATATACACAAGTATTATATTTTTAACAACTTAATGCTTATTGGTAGTCGAGAGAGATTATATTATCTTAAGCTGGCACTCAGAGTCTGACTTGGTTAACTAATATAGCCTGATTGATAACTTATCTCTGCATGATCAATGAAGGCTAATTAGGATTTACTAAGATAATCAATTAAATTAATTACAAGTATAGTTACTTTGGATGAGAACACGTCGCTAGTGGTGCTATTAAAATCTAATCAACTTTCGTGTATAGAGCTTTAAGGTGGGCATTTGTATCGAGACTAATGAGTCATGAAAGAAGTTTCGTGTTTTGTCTGCACGGTACAGTATCCTTAAAGATCATAATCAAAAGACTGTTATTTCGTTTTCATTGAATTTCATACATGAGATGATTTATTACATTTATTGAGCTTATAAGTCGTTTTTCCTTTCTGTGTTTTTAAACTTTTTTCCGCAGTATCGTTGGTTGAAGAATTCTAATATTTTGACTTATTTTAAGAATATATAGTTGAAGAAAATATATATGAAACCATGGTTGAAGAATTCTAATATTTTGGCTTCTTATTCAGGCTCGTTTCAGTTAGGGATTGATTAATTTCGGCTCTTTTCGTGGAATTTTTATTATTTTTTTAAACCTTGTCAATATTTGCTTTCCCTTCAAGTGATTTACAGTTTTTACACCTTAAAATTTGAATTTTCCATGTTCAATTGATGTTATTGAATATTTTATCATCAACCAGTAAATAAGTGAATGGTTTTATATCTAAAAGAGTGAATTTTTAAATTGTGTACTAATTTCCAATTTTAAAGCATTTTTTGCCTCCTAAATTCTCTTAAATGTACTATTCGGAACAAAAATTATTTAGTTTGCCGATGGTCAAGGATACAATTTTGATGCTAAATTCCCTACCAATATTTTGATTTTTTAACCAAGAAATGCGGAACGCATATGACGGTGATATTTGTAGGAAAAACTTCATTAAAATTTTCTATACGCGCACTTATTGATGTAGCGTTCTTTATGTTAAATTAATGATCATTCATATTAAAAAATAAACTCACTGGACCTAAGTATTAATTGTATTAAATAAATAGTGTCTGCATTAATCGAATTTTTCAATGGACTGAAATTATCTCATTATCGGTAATTCGACGTGTTGCAAATATCTAGTCATTGGTGAGGGAGTGAAGACTCCAAAGCCTAGCTTTATTAACACTAAATTTGAATTTAAATGATATATTTAAGAACGAACAAGTAGCCCTCTAAGTCTAACTTCAAAACCGTAGATACTATGAACAGTTTAACATGTGTTGGCGAAGTTATAAAGTAAAATTTCCTACATTTTTATGTCACTGAACGCCAATAGCGACATAAGACATATTCATGTTTTTCTGAACACACCCAGCAAAAGGTGTGTTATTAGATATAACCTACACTTTAACCGGCCCCTATGTGTCGTACATGCGTTTACACTGCCATCTAAATGTTATATTATGTACAGTTATATAATATTTGGCCTACAATGTTAATTAACCTTGACACATCCTGAAGTTAAATGGTGAACATCGCTAGTGTTTTGTCAAACGTTCACTTCGCCTCCTATGTATGTTAACATAAAAAAGCTTTATTAAGAAAATTAGGGAAAAAGTCATAAGAATGCGCTATTCAGACATCATTGTCTATTGGCTTTAGTGTAACATTTAATTTTTTACATTTTCTTATGTATAATGATTCATTCAGTATAGGATTAAACAGAAATTTGTCATAAATTAAATCAAAGTTTAGAATGGTCTGGGTTTCGACTCATCATTCGAGATAATTTCTGATAGGATTTAATCATGTCTCGATATCAGCGGAGATAAATTTACAAGGGGATAAAAATCGGTATATAGGTATAGCCTTTGCCACCAATTACCCCATTTATGTTTCAGTCGCTGTCAGTCAAGTGTTCTTTACCCCGTGTCTTAAATGCAGTGTCACAGTGTGGATATTTATGGAAGTGTACTCGCATCTCATTGTCCGGGATATTCAGTATATTGCGGACCTATAGTGTCAAATGCGAACAAAACTGTGCACTAAAATCGCTTGATTAGTTTTATAATTTATACACTCTCAGGAACTAAAAATGAAACAGTTTGTTTTTTCCAAGTCGAAGCTTGTGAATGAGTTTTACGAAGTACTTTTATCAAAAATATGATATATTGTCAAACATATTGGAAAAAAGTCGGTAATGAATTTCCATGTTATATGAAGCCTCTACCTCTTCGTCGTATATATCCACAATGTCTCTATTGTAACCATGTATAATAATGACGTGTTATCCTGGGTAAATTTGTTGTCGAACGGTGAACTCATTATTCAATGTTCGTTAAATATCTTTAACATTAAAATCATTACTTTCTTAAATTAAATTTATGATGCTGTTATACAATAATGTTCAAAGGTGATTTCTGGGTACGTGTTTGGTTGCAGGCGAATAACGACCAATTCTCTAAATCAAGTTTGTCTGGTTAATAAGATTTGTTTCAGTTCTTTATACACATTAAAGTTTCTTTAATACAAATATATACTATTACATGAATTATATTAAAGCCTCATTACTATATATTCGTCAGTCGTTCGACGATTGCTTTGAATTCAAACCATCAATGATGTTACTTCTCCAAATCGGCCTCACATTTCTTTACAAATCTTCTGTTTAGGAATGAAACTAGAACATCTGAGAACATTTGAGAACTAGCAGTTCTCAGATGTTACGCGCTATCAACTTTTCAACTGATATCTAATGGGTTATGTGATACAGTCTTTAAATGTCTAACGAGTTATATATAATTAACTTACTGTTTCGAACTTCCATGTTGTTCAATTTACATTACTTTCGTGCTAAACCCATGTTCCGTAGTCATTCTGTATATATAAGCAGGCTATATACCCATCCTATTTTGATTGTGTTACGCCGTCTGTTTTCGAACTTTTAGTTTTCAATTTAGGCAATTATTTAGAGTCATTTAGACTAGGGTTGCAGTAAGGACTTTTTTCTCTTTATATAATAACAGTGAATCTTTTCTTAGTTTGCTTCGGAAAAGGTTAATTTATTTTAAAATATCTTTAATTTTTCTGCAAACTTTATTAATGTGGAAATAATAGTGCGTGTGACAGTTAACTAATAAATTCATTTTTGCTGTGTTGCCTTTGCAAAAATTTTTTTTACCAACGAATTTTGTTGAACATGTGATATCCGACCTTTTTTTTCCTGCACTTTGTTTGCTCTAGAGTTTTTAAAAAGTTCATATCTTGCTGAAGAAAAGCAGTGCACCACAAACGATGTTTCTGGATTTGTGTTGAGTCTGCGATAAATTTGATCAAGATATTATTAGAAATTTTAAAACGACGGTAATAAATTCTTTTGCCTCGAACAGTTTTTTTATTATGCCTTCTATTCGTCTGTAATAATCACTGCTCGATATTAAAGCCAAAAAATATAACTCAGTACTCACTGCAGTAAGTGACTGAGAGCAAATTTTCTCGTCGACGAAAACGTGAAGTCACGGACGGACAGACAAACAGACGGACAGACGGACGGACAGACGAACATGACGAGTACAATAGCGCCTTTTTTACATAAATGAGAAAATGTGCTAAATATGTATTTCGTGTTTTTGGAAGTTTTGAAATTGCTAGGATGCTACAAATTTCTAGAATATATTCTGAACTTTGGAAATGGAACATAATTTTTCAATTCAATCCCAAAAAATGAAATTGCAAGAGAAATACAAACAATTGAAATTATTCTATTTATAAAAAGATGTTCCATAGGGCGTAAAACAAAGGTGCGAAACACATGGGAATAAGAATATTTTTGCAAGGATGCAGAATGGTAAATTATCTAATGGAAATTATTTTATTTTCATTATTATTTAATGGTAAATTATTTTGATGAAAATTCAATATACGAGTGGAAGTGGCGTATTTTTTGCTCATAAATAATAAACCAATTTTAGATTTTGTAAACTTTTGATAATAGGACTTATCAGATGAATTATCAGATTCATGAATTATCAGATTCATGAATCACGATACTGAAATTAACAGCAAAATTCTGATAATTTCCAACACGACATGATGACTTCTGCGTTTTTTTTGTTTCTTCATGTGTTAATTAAATCAACTTTCGAGATTATCGTGATTTTTGTAACTTTTGATGAATTTGTAAATTTTTGATCATCATTTCTTCAAAATGCTTCTGCTACATCTAAAATTTTATCGAACTTCACACTGAGTAATTTTTGGACTTTATTTTATCATGACAAGGCCAGAACGTTTATATGAATATGATTTTACCATGCCATAGAAGGTACTTTATACGTGCAATTTAAATTTGCAAAATTATGCGTTACCATTTTCAAGTTATGGTTTTATTTTAAATGGTAAGTAATTCAGATGTGCGGAACTAGATCGTTCAAGCCTATGCTGGTCAGTTTGCGGTAGCTTTGCAGTGGTTCATAACAGTGTCGTCTGTGTGTTCAGAACAGTGAAGAGATTGATATATTTGAATTTTTTTACTTGAATATAGAATTTTTCTTGCTAGTGAATTAGCGGATTGACTTTGGAGCAATGATAGAGAAACCACAACGATCGTTTTTTTGCAAAGAAAGTGAAATTTTACACAATTATGAACTAAATGGGCGATGCTCGAAGGTAAATGTGTTGTTGAGCTTGAAAAGACGAAATCGAGATCATCAAAGTATCAAGAATAAGCACTGGGGCGCCAAGGTTATCCCTTCGTACTGTAAGTACACTTTTACAAACCCTAACTTGCTTCTGACAATTTTCTTCAAATATTTTACTGCCGTTGTTGACGGCTTAATCGTAATCCTATCCCTCTGCTCTTGCCCACTGGCTGTAGAGCTTCTATTTATATATGTTATGTAACGTGTGTTTTGGTTGGATGTGAACGGTAATTCCATTAGTACGGTAGCGGTTTTGGTCAAAAAGAGCTTGGTTTAGTAAGACCGGGAAGATGGAGAGTTAGAGAAGCAGACAATATCGAAACCATTGGTACTGTTATGAAGAATTAGTAGACGAGATACTCTTAGGAAAGTCCCTGGATCCGATATTCAGATACGGTGATCAGTTTATTTAATTGTTCAATAACCTAATAATTCTCTGAAAGAAAAAGTTCACTGAGACGGAACACTGAAATTTTCGGAGGAAATTCATCACTTGTAAAAATATTTAATGTGGTAGATCACATGCGTATCAGCGTATGACTACGCTGATATGCACACCCAGATATAAAAGAAATTGCTGAGCAATGCAAAGACTTGAAAATACCAAAACACGATTAAACACAGCAACTTTCGATGGTCGTCCATCCGATTTGATAATTAGCTAGAAGCTTCTAACAACATACATTGGGTTTATTAAGGATTTTTCCGATTTGCCAAAAGCAGCAGAAGAACGGTAGTAACTTCCTAGGGTCTTACCTAGGAAGTTACTTACTTACCTATGGAAACTGGCGAGCCAAAAATTTTCGAGTGTGATTATCCATAGATTTTCTAAATTTTCTGACTTGTTGATTATTCTGATCCGGACGACGACGCAAACCTCAACATAAAGGTTTAGTTGTAAGATAACGAGTTTCTAAACTGATAAAGTAAAGATTTATTCTAGACTATTTCCAGAAATTTGTCAATTTTACTACACTGCAGTGGCAGGGAAAATTGCAGGCTTGTGGATTAAGTCGCTTTTAAATTAGAGAATTAATCGGTTATTGTCACAAATGGAGAAAAGTCTCCACTAAATTCGAGAAATATATTAATATTACCGCTGCTCAGTTGCTTCAAAATTTCAGTTACGTGTGTTAGGTCATTTTCGAAAAACATAAATTAATCGATAACTAATGCAAAAGAATTTTGATTTTCACAAAACCCAGAATGCTAATTGTAAAACTGCTCTGTAAAAGCAAAAATTCATGTATGTTGGTTCAGTAGATTCTAAATTTGTAAATTCATCGATAACTATAAATAATATAAATGAATTTATCGGGTTAGAACGTTAGATGATATTCGGTCTTGATTCATGAAAGTGGTTACCAAAAACTGACATCCTGAAACGGTTGAACCAACATCTGTACAAATCATGCAGCCAGTGCGCAGCTGAAATATAAATTAAATTCTCGAAATAGGCGCTATTTGTTGTTGAATCGTTTACGTTACTATAGGGAAATCTATTTAGAAACGGACACATTGTTTCCTATTGAACTAGTTGACCCTTTTTGCAGTTGGAAGGTGAATGAATTATTCATGAAGCTTATATATTTGAAGTTTATATATTTGAAGTATATATATATTTAGTTTGTATTTGTAGTCGAATCATGAAGGTTATTACTGGAAAATTCAATTTCGCAACAGACGAACTAACGCCTATGACATTCATGCAGCTTATGCGCGGGTAGGAACGGAATTAAATTCTCAATTAATGCAATTACTGCGCAGTTGGCAAATTTAGTTATGGCTAGAAACTTTTACTATTTATTCCGAATAATGCCATTATTGGTGTGACTATACCGCATCTTCAATTGCTAATAACTATAGGGACATAAGTAAATATAATCTTCAGAATAAATATAAATTGAATATAAATGGCATCAGGCATAATTAACAGTAGTTTCTTCCTTCTCTCTTATAATGATGATTTCTCCTCCTAGAGAGTTCTCAACTTGAAAAAATTCACATTCGAAATTAGATGTCTGAACCGGAGAGCTAACCGAAAAAAATCACGTTTTCTTAATTATCATTTCCGTGCACAGTAGCAACAACCCGATTACGCAACCTGCAAGAAAAATTTCTGAGTAAATCATTTTCATTTATGATTAAATTTACAATGAGTATTATTTATCGTCATCGAGTAAACTCGTGTTACCTTATAAGTAAACATGAAGATGAATATATATAAATGGTGAAATATCAACAGTAACAAATCAGCATTGTAGATTGCCCACTTATACTTACGTGCATTGTAGGCTGCACCACTATTTCCCACAAGCCGGTCCTTTAATCTGGCAAAGCCACCTGAAGAAGATGTGTGAATTTACTCATCCTGTCGCTGAACAGGAGAATGAGTTTTTTGAAACGAAACTTACCAGTCGCTAAACGAATTAAGGCCCCTCCGTGGTCTTTGACTGTATAGACAAAGACTGTCTGTCTTCCAGGCTTTGACCCTGGCACCCCAAGGCTCACCAGTCGCTAAGAGAATAAAGACCCCGCCTAGGTTTTTGACTGTATAGACAAAGACTCTTTGTCTTCCAGGCTCTGACTCAGCCCGAGACTCACTGGTCACTAAGAGAATAAAGACCCCGCCGAGGTCTTTGACTGTATAGACAAAGACTCTCTGTCTTCCAGGCTCTGACTCTGGCGCCCGAGACTCACCGGTCGCTAAGAGAATAAAGACCCCGCCGAGGTCTTTGACTGAATAGACAAAGACTCTCTGTCTTCCAGGCTCTGACTCTGGCGCCCGAGACTCACCGGTCGCTAAGAGAATAAAGACCCCGCCGAGGTCTTTGACTGAATAGACAAAGACTCTCTGTCTTCCAGGCTCTGACTCTGGCGCCCGAGACTCACCGGTCACTAAGAGAATAAAGACCGCGCCGAGGTCTTTGACTGCATAGATAAAGACTGTCTTCCTGGCCCTGAATTGCGCCCCGAGACTCACCGGTCGCTAAGAGAATAAAGACCCCGCCGAGGTCTTTGACTGTATAAACAAAGACTCTCTGTCTTCCAGGCTCTGACCCGAGACTCACCAGTCACTAAGAGAATAAAGACCCCGCCGAGGTCTTTGACTGTATAGACAAAGACTCTCTGTCTTCCAGGCTCTGACCCTGGAGCCACAAGACAAGCGGTGCTGTTCGGGGTGTAGCGCTGAATGAGCTCAGAGATCATGCCTCCCGCGATCATTTTGTTTAACCTGGGAAAAGAAAATATTTATTACCACGAATATTTAGTTGTATTTTTTGTACGGGACAATAATCTAATCTAATTTCTAATCTATAACGCTTCAGTCGAAATAATAGGAACCTACTCTCCGTTTTGCTTCTCACAGAATATAGTAATTTTATGAAAAAATTTCATAAATGTTGCTTCCTTTACTAAAGAAAATTTTTCTATTGAGATATAATCTGTAATATCACATTTACAGCATAAAAGAACAGATACCAAGTTAATCACTCTCTTTTCGTATCCAACAATCATTCAGCATACACCATTCAACAATTCAGTCTGAATGATCGTGGGTCGGTCTGTAAAGCACAGTCAAATGAATCGTGAAGTTTTATTGAAATCCATGCATAACTTTTGTGGTCTTGTGCTGCATTCTTAAAATTGAAGCAGTCAAGAGGCTAGAAATATGACAGTATTGGCTATACAGACGGCAAATTATATAGAGGGCTGAAAAAAGCTCTACCAATTTTTTGGCATAAATCTCAAAGCTCACTATCGTCGTAAAATGTCCACGACGGGAAGTCAAAAGAAAGTAATTTATAAATAATAGAATTGAAGTTTGCATGGACAAAAAAATGTAAAACTTGTGAACCAGGATAACGCACCTGGAATGGGGCTAAGGACTATGCCCACTCCTTGTCGAAGAAGAGCACAATAGGACTACCTACATATAAGTACTATATCCACTCCTTGTCGAAGGAAGGGACAATAGGACTACATATAAGGACTATACCATTTCCTTGTCGAAGGAAAGGACATAACACTACATATAAGGACTATACCCACTCTTTGTCAAAGGAAAACACAATAGGACTACATATAAGGTCTATACCCACTCCTTGTCAAAGATTGGCTTGAGGTAACTCTTCTTGGGAAAGACAAAGGATAGGGACCCGGTGGAGAAGCGTTCGCGGGCGATGTAGTAGCTACACGAGGCGTTCTCGCTAAACTCTTCGCTGATCACCTGTAAAGTTAAGAACTTCATTAATAGTAACTCAACGCATGTGAGAATATTTATTTTTAGTCGAAATTCACTAACAATTTAATATTTAGTAATGCTTGGTACCATCTTTAGGTACAGAAATCATTTAGATCGATGCTTTTGAAAAATAATAATAATAATAATAATACCACGACTGTTGGAAAGTATTAATAGCCATATCAACAGTCGGAAAATTGACTAGAAGCAAACTAAAATTTTATGCAGGTCTCACGAGAATTAGCGAGAAGCTCAAATGCAGCAAGTTATCAGCAACCGAAAGGCATGTACCTATCGTAACTAATTGTCTGGAATAAAGAATTTTTCATTACGCACACGTGGCAAAAAGTCTTATGCTTGTGGAAATTAGAGAGAAAGAAGCAGCTTTAGCTTCTCAGATAGACGTACGGAAAGTAATCAGCAACATCAGGTAGCGGATGAAAGCCGAGGTTGAACTCAAGAAAGTGACACGAAATAAATGTAGATTGCTGATGTAATCGCACGTAAGTCTCCAATAGAGGAATAGAGTGAAACAGGATAGTACTTTAGCCTTACGTAATTGTATAAAAAGAGACAGAGGACGGTTGGAAGGGTAGTAAAGTAAAATAAATCTATCCGCTTAACAACCAAACTCCTCAACAGTGACACGGAATCGTATAAAATGTGCTTATAGGTACAACAATGGCGGGTTGCATTATTACAATATCGCTAATGGAAGAAAGAATATAAGTCAGTAGACATTCCTGATGAATGTCGCAGCAGAAATATCATTAAATGAAGATAGATAAATATTGTAGTAGACTCCTCATCGCTATTTACTTTGGTCATGCTGATGTAATCACACAGAACTGCCAGATTGCCACTCTTGATGTCGAAGCGGGAGTTGTAGCAGGACTCCACAATGGACATGCGTTTTGCCACCTCCATCATCACTCCAGAGTCCGCACGCTTGTTAACGAGTGAACAATGGTTAAGTTTAGTCCATTGTAGTTTGGTTTAACTGAACGTCAATACGGTACTTTATTCTTGATTAAAGTACACTCAGGAAAATGAGTAAAACTTCATGTAAAAAGCGATGCGTTATTTGCCCTAGTGTGGGTCATCTGACCCAGTTTAGCCCCACCAAAGGGCTTATCAGTGCTACGCCCGTTCTTCAATTCTTTGCTTGTGCTGCGATTAAGAAGGTATGTCACTATTTAGACAATTTGACCCATTAACTTTCAAGAGTGTACATTTTGTAGCTAACAAATTCTCGAGCAATTACTTATTGACTAGTTCATTAGTTTGCTTCAATCGCAAGTTTATAACATATACAATAAATCTTCAACTGCTGTAACTTTTATCCTTTACAAAACTAAAAGGAAATCAAGATCCGACAACGTTGTGTAAGAGCTAATATTATATTGTTCTGCGCAATGTATTGTGAGAGTACATGCAAATTTATGTTCTGAAACGACCTGTACAACCGATTATGACAAATCGTGCATCTTATCCGAAATTTTCCAGTTCTGATTTTTTTTGAAAATATTATGGCAACATAAGATTTTTCTAACGTTGAGCATCTCATTGACGGCACTGCCAACTTCGGAGGCAAACTTGATGTCACTCTTGACGAGGTCGTGAAGAGAGTTGACGGGAATCCTCACATAGGGCGCGGCGAGCAGCGACGTAAGAGCTCCGCAGTACGCGGCGCCTAGCACCACACTGAGGGCAGAAGAGGCTCTACAGTCTACACTTTAAAGACCCGTTCACACTAGGGGCAACACACGAGAGTCAAGTGCCTCAAAGCGCATGCAGAGGCGCTTTGCAGCCTCTGCATGCGCTTCTTGACCGATTGACGAGCTAGCGATTGACAGGGGCCATGCCTCATGAAACACAAGAGCGGCACTTATAGTAGATAGCTATTAAAGAATTGATATCACTTGTATGCACTTATGTGATTTTAGCAACTCCTGACAATTTATGCATTACCGTTTAGCGATTTCAAAGGATGATGTTATATCTGTACGAATATTGGAGCTTTTTATTTAAGAATAGACTATATTTTTTATAAACTGTATCTTTTTGAATGTGCTACTTCTCTAATTATGATGCCTATGCTAAGTTCTCGTTTACAACTGGCATAGTGCGGAGAATGGCGTACTCGAGAACAATGGCCCACAGCTCAAATTCGGTGACATCCACCCTCATTGACGTCTAGGAGGCATCTGGTGTTCAAAGCGCGCGGTCTCAAACTACCGAGTACAAAAGTAGTGTGAACGGTTGTGCGCGGTGAGGCACTGCAGCAAACGACTCAAAGCGCATGTCGTTGCCACTAGTGTAAACGGGCCTTAAGGTGCTTACACACGGGGCGATTGGTTGCGTCGACTACAGTTTTGCCGGCTGAGAGCCTATACACGAGGAGAGTGTTTTCAGTACAGGGCAGTGCGACGTTGAGAGTTGTCGAGCAAGGTGTGTGCACGGTGGAGGCAAGCGAGAGCTCCAAAGCTGTGCGCGCCACAATGGGCAAGAGAGAGAGAGAGCGACAATGCTATGCTCAGTATGAAGGCCGAGCCGCTACTGGGCACAGTAGTGAGTAGAGTGAGTAGACTGTCTAGGAACAACTTGAGCTGCTATGGGGGCAATGCAACAGCTAGTCGCCTCTGAAGACGGCAATCATTACAAATTTTAGTTGCGTGTATAAGCACCTTTATTGATATAGAAGAATCAAAAGAAATGGTGAGTCAGGATAAATCACTTATTTGATCAAAACTCCTTACTTCGCCACACATTGAGAATGTATTAATCTAAACTTCCTAATTCGCCACAAATGATATTGAATTGATCAGAACTTCGTAACTGACCACAAATAAAATTGGATAGAAGAGATCTTCTCACCTGGACACACACGAGATTGAATCATTAAAAAAATTACTTCACTGTCAATTAGATTGGATTGATCAAAACTTCGTACCTCATCAAGAGCCACGTGCCACGCAGAACTCTGTCTGCCAGAAGTTTTCCGCGCTGCGCCGTGGCTGACGGATGAAAGTGGGAATCAGCGCTCTCATTATAATTGTATACCTAATGCTTTATAAGAAAGTCTACACCATCAAACTACGAACATGGAGGTAAATTAGAATTCTTTGTTAAATGTGAGTTCAAACGGATCTTTTCCTCATTAACATTACTGCAGTTTTAAAATTATCCACGAAATAGTGAGATTTTCTGTAACAGGATTCGGTAATCACAAATGCAAGGCTTATAACCATCCAGGGCCACGACAGGTTAAGCTTCTATTACTTCATTAAAACGGTCCAGATCTTTCTCTGAATAAAATATAAACTGAATATATATATTTAAAAAGTTAGGATTCATGTGAATAGCTGACTAACCCACACCATAAAAATAGCGAGCTACAACAGGTCTAGGCATCTTACCTCGATGGCGCGTGGCGGGGAAAACCCAATCACTTCCTAGCAGCTTCAGTTTCATCACAGTTTTTCGGACGCGTTCAAGTTGACTCGGGAAATTTTCCGGATTTTTCTTCAAAACTGTTGGATTTTCTTCGAATTTTTTCTCAGTTACACGTAGGAAAATTGCCATTAGGGAGCTCACCAAAACGGAGATCAGCAGAGCAGTCCACACCTGAAGAGAATCATTATTTGTTTTGACGATACAATAAGCGATCACCTGTATATGTTACGCCGCAGATGATCGAGTTTTTCTAAATTTTTCAGCAGTAGAAAAGCGAGTGATATTTTCAACAGTTGTCTGAGGTGTCATAAGTTAGCAGTAGGTGTCTAAGACACCTAGCAGCAGTAGATCTCTAAGTTAGGTTTCAAAAAATTTTTAAGGAGTAGAAGATTCAGTTTTTTTTCAATCTATAAGCATCAGATGCCAAGTTAAGCGTTTTTCATGTATAAAACTTGCTTGGGACATATCATACCTATATAAGTAAACTTATCTCGAAAAAGAAAGGCGTGCAGTATCACATTTTTCTTCGAACTGTTAATATCATATGAAGTTTGAACTGGTAATACCATATAAAATTTAAACTGGTAATACTAAACAAAGTCATCTAACCCCGACAGAGAAGGGCTTCAAAAAGTTGCTGAGATCCTTTTTTATGCCAGGGCGAGGCAGGAATATTCCTGTACCGTCCGTTACAAGCGCGTCTGAGAAGTCGATGTAGACATTCCTCTCGTGGGTTTGAATGAAGGGACCGAGGGCCATGTCAACCTCCTGCTTAAAGGTTCATTATATGTCGACATCTAACCACCGACAAAGGTTATTGTTTAAAAATTGTAATACCAAATAATTAAGTAATAATCAATTTGTAAATGATCGCCCTAACTCACCCCTCTGACGACCATGCCTATCATGCCGTTGAAAGTCCCATTCCCGAAGTGGGTGCCCCAGATGCCGTCAACACAACGAACCAACCTGAACCTGCCACACGAGAGGAATATTAATTTAAAGAAACACTCTCCTAAGTAACAGAGTTTAAAAACAATTACTATCGGTACTGACCGTGACCAATTTGAATCCTGCCTGTCAATCCCCTCCTGGGGATTGACTGACATAAATGAGAAGAATGGACTAACATTACTTACTAACTAGTACAAGTTACGGGACGATCCCGTATGTTACGGTCGGGCTTACGTTAGTTACGGTCCGGCTTACGTTTTCGTTAGTTTTTCGTGTTGGATGCATGCGATATATTCTCTTTCATTTCAAGTTATTCATTGAAATTCATTTCTAGATTTTAAGAAATGAATGCACATTTCTCTTTTTCATTGCCTTGGTCCTTATTCTCTGCAAGTATGAAGTAATTAGAGTCAAAGTTAATTCAACAAGATTTTAATACTAACCTAGGTACTTCTTCATCACCTTTCGACTACTTGCATTATATTGACTGGTAAATGAGTTTATTGTGCGATATCCCGGCATAATTACTTGATCTGGCCCTACAACAGGAATTCTGATAGCCCAGCGCTAAAAATATTCGTATTGGTCAATATATTCCCCGAGCGCTGTATATATGGTAGAGTAATTATTGAAATTTATGTGCATTAAGAACTAAAAGTTCATTTAAGCTCGGTGAACATGATATGTCTTACGTAAAATTTAGTTTATTGGCCATCATCGTGAAAGCATCTGCCGCAGCCCCCGTAAAGTGGGAGCGGTTGGTCTCTGCCTCTCTAGGGAAGGACACGTAGGGCTCCCAGGTGTCCACGGCCACGAGCAGCGTACGTCCTGACAACGCCATGGCGAAAGTGCCACTCGCCGGCCACACGCTGGCCTACCTCCTTATATACCTGCTCAGGCATTCCTGGTCTACGTCGGAATAATGGACCTTAGATGCATAAACCGTTAAAGAAATAATCGATCAATCTCTAGTACGATCATAAATGTCATAATTAATTATTTCTTCATTACACGTTAGTTTTATCATTATATACGTTGAATATTTGAGTACAATTATCGGCTTCACAATTCCCCTCCAAAAAATCTGTGAATTTAAATATAATTCTGAGGCATATACGGTTGATTCCGTCGAAGAATCAGTCATCGCCGTGTGCGATGCCACCTAAACTTCTAATGATAATTTATTTGGAATCTGAAGACAAGTTCGGACTTAAAATTTGATTTAATACATGCACATATCAAACTTAAAGTTTGCAGATGTTGCTTAGTTCTTTCCACTTCATTGCAAAGCTACATAATAAAAATCGCTGATCTACGTTCCGTTAATAAGTCGAGATTCAAAAAATTGTGGAAGAATTTAAGTTCAAGGCTTTAGTTAGTATTTAGTTTAGATACAAAATTCGTTTAATTCCCGCAAAGCTAATTTGAGAAATAATTTGTTGAGGGAAATTGGCTATTCAAATTTAGTAATTTGTCAAGCTTGAAACTCAGGGAAACGCAGGAATAAAAATTCGGATTGATAAAAAAATCTGCTGAACAGATTGATATTTGACATAATGGGAGTAAATTAAAAATAAAACATGAGGTGTGCAGCAAAATTTAATATCTCGAAACATCAATACAATAATACACAATAAAAAACAAATATAACAAAACGCAAATAATTTGACGAACACAAACACAAGTGCAATGGTAATTTGGTTCTAGTCTCGTCCAAAAAATTTAATTTAAAAATAGCCTGGTGTAATTTGCGGTTGTTCAACAGATCACGTTTAACCCTTGACTAATTGATAAAAAGTTATAACATAGTCTAGATGTTTAGTATGAAGCCCATCTAATTTGATAGTTTAAACTAATTTCAATAAGATAATTTTGACACGCAATTTTAAATTCATGCGGTAGATTGAAGGCTAAAGACAGAGACAGAAGCTGATCTGCATACGGCTGTAAATGTTCAACGTATTACCTCACGAATGTGTTACCGTGTTATAGCTGGAGGAACACAGCGCGTTATTATCAATAACGTAATTTTATAGGCGGCAAAATTATGACCAATAGTGCGAGGTGCATAGTATTATAGTAGGCACACCATCTATAATCTGCACATATATGAAGATTATCATAACAACTATTCTAAAAAGGCCGAAATAAGTACAGTACATTTGCTGGCAAAAATATGTTATCTCACTACTGAGGCACGAATTAACCATCGAAGTAATAGAAAGTTCGATTGCTTCGAACTATCAAAGTAAAGCGCAATCGGATGATTTTCAGTTTCATTCTTTCTTCGAATAATTAGAAAAGGGCTCAAAATTAAAATTGGACACATGAAAGGGCATTAGCAGACTTGCATCATCTGTCCATTTGAATCCAATACAAAAACGATAAATGATTCCTTTCCATTATACTCATGCGATCGATCCTCGCAAACGAACTTCATTTATTTTGAATAAATAAGTTAAATTCGTGGCCTATTTCATCAAACTAACAATAAAGGTTTTAGTTCTGTGATGCGACGAGGATGTTATAGTCTTGAGATTCAACCATAAACCTAACAGAACAAAAGGCTTCGCAAATGTCCCATTTTATATTGAAGACATGCAAATTTCGCTCAGCGAGTAGCCAGTTGATCAAAAGGTCAGGCAACACAGAGATTAATTAGCAAATTTAATCATACAGTTTGTAATTAGCGAGCGGCACTTGAAATACCGACAATGATGCCTGAATTTGTCACGTAAAACACAATGAATTCAAATGGAATACTAAAGCAGTGGCTTCCGAACTGGAGTGAATTTCAGTTAGGGTGATCAATTTTTCGGAAGCATTGGACGATTGATTAATTTCGATTCTTAAAGAAGTATAAATCAAAGCAAGTTCATCTTGAATAACATGTATAAATTTAGCAGCACGGGCATCAATGTTGAAATAATTTAATATAGGTGTTATGTTAAATTGGGTAACCAGATGAACACGTTGTGGAACCACAGTAATTAAGAGAAATATTTGAGTTTTTTTATTTTCTCACTCGGGAGGATTAGACTGAAAATGTCTGGGTTTCGACTATCGTCTTCCAGGACACAAGTTTGTGCGTTTGTGATAAAACTTTGCAGGCACAAATCTATGGGATATTTTGCAGAAAAATGCAAAGTAGCATCGGTTTTGGCATAACTAAACGTCACAGTACAAATCCATGTATTTAGTTGACATATATTGGTCTATCAAACAACATCTAATTATTAGCACCCATGTACATAGTATTCAACAGCAGTTATGATGATTTTAGGTGTCAATACAAATATTGTCCTATTCACTTATCCAGTTGTTGGGCGACTTCTAGGTTAATATGAACATTAATTTAGGAAACTTCGCCTATGAACTTTTGTTAGGAGTACTGCTTACAGTGAATGAATTCCTGACTAGTCTACTATGGTAAAAAGACTATCTAGGTCACCAAATGTAAGCAATGACATATACGTAAGTTCAATAATTTTAATAAGTTTGATTTAATTTATGTTAAATGTAGCCTGAACAGCACAGCAAATAATGAAGCTGTGCGAAAGAGATGTTTATGTTATTACATGATGAGAAAGTTTTTGCTTAATACTTGATTATTTTAATCCTTGATTATAGTTCAAACTAAATGAAGGTTAACAGTCGTTGTGTGCGGAGTGTAAGAGGTTGTCATTCAAATATTAATTGCTATGCTCAATGTAAGGAAGGATGGAATTTATTATCAATTGAATTTTACTTATTTTATTATATTAGTTACAAATTTACGGCTATTAACGGAAGTTTATAAAATTTTCTCTTCCAAAAATCAATGCATATATTCTGCTGTTCGGTAGACCAAAAAATACAAGTTTGCGTTTCGTAAAATTGGTACAAATTTATTACACGAGCAAATGAATAGCTCGAAAGCAGTATTTCTATTTTCACACCCAGTATTTCATTATTTTCTTTATCGATTTACACTGAATAGAGATTTAATTCATTTCTAATTTTTGTTCTAAATTTAATTTAAAACCGTTGAAACCCTTTTCAAATATACTATGTTTCAATAATTTTAATTTCGGAAATATTTTCGATTAACATATCAAAATATTTTTCGATACATTGAGAAAATTGTCTCCTTTTCTTTACGCTAGTGAAAAGAGAACATTTTAATTTCTATATCGGATAAAGCATTCATAGCCCATTGAATGCATTGCATAGGGCAATATAATGCATTAATAGCCCTAAAAAACAGAAATTTGTTTTTAGAAAATCTGAAAATTCATATATTCAGACAAATCTTCTATGTTGCTGACGGATGAGACGAAATTTGAAAATTAAATAATAAGTTTGCAATAACAGGTTCTTTTCAAACGTTCCTCATACACAGGAAAATTTTTAAATTAATTTATCTCTTCACACTTTATTGTGTATGGACAATGCATTTATTTCGTATAAAAATACCAACATTTCAGAGTTCTTCGTTCAGAAAATTAAGAAGCTACACACACCACATAATGAAGACGTTGATATATGAATTGATTATTATTATTATTTTAGTTGGTATTAGATGCCATCAGGAAGGGAAGGACATAATTTGCGGCATTATAAAATAAATTTTTCATATATATTATTAATACTCAGAGTCCTGTTTATAAAGAAGGATATCCTATACCACAGTAATTTATTCGATTTATATATCAAAATAAGAAACACTTCAAAGTTAAAGTTCTTGTTTGGGTGGCAGAGCGTCCGGGCGGGAATACCGTCCGGCGAAGAGCGTAATTCCGGATTGCAGATCCTGCAGGAGGAATACGAAGGGATGGTCCGCTACGAACGGCGGAATGGTGCGCACCATCGCCATACGGGCCATGATCACCTGGGCTGTGGTCACGGGAAAGGAATATTTCAAGTCATTAATAAACAATCATGGATGTTAAGAATAACATATATTAATAAAAATATAAATAGAGTATATTTCAAGAATTCATGAGCAACGGTCAAGAGAAAAATTGGTTATGACTACTGTAAATTGCTGAACGCTCGAATAACGCTAATAAATGCGAGATAGTGAATAAGTTAGATGAACAAATATTTCACGAATAAGATTAATGGTTAAATAAGTTATAAATATCGCTTCGAAATGAGGCGTTCCTGAGTGAAATTGGTGGATAATTAGGTAATGCAACATTCTAGACGTAATATTAGAAACAATCCCCCGTTTGTCCCATAACCATCAAAAATACCTAGAACCAAACTCAAGCACAAGTTGGGAACTAAACTCAAGCGCAAGCTTAGAACCAAACTTAAGCACAAGTTCAGAACCAAACTCAAGCACAAGTCCAAAACCAAATTCAAGCACAAGTTTAGTCCCAAACTTAGGGACCAAAAAGATTCATCGAAGCAAAACCCAGGTTAGGTATGAGAAAAGCAAGAGGTTCAATATTTCTTACATTTATTGACAGCAGTACCACAAAAAAACTACTTCAGACTACGGGAAAACAGCGTTTAAGACGTTAAATTACAAGTGGGCAATGCCATGAGTGAATGGTACAAAATAATATATTATATAATAAATTGGAAAGACAAAGAAGACTTAGCATGCAGTTTAAAAATAACAAATCGTAACTAATAAAGTATTATTCTCTCCAGAAAAGGATGATAATTTTTATATGAATCAAGAAAGAATATGAGAAAATAACTAGAAAGCTGAAGCAACAGGAATATAAACCTGCAGGAAAATGTAAAAGAACAAATCGATAAGATCCACTGCCGAGGTCCATAAGTGTCAAAACAAAAATATACAGGTTAAAGAATTTGGTTTAGGCTTCCAAGTTACATTAGACACAAGCAAATTCTTGCTATTTTGTTTTCTAAAGATGTGACAGATGGAGTTTTTTTGGTAATTTTTGAACCCGCAAAACAGCATTGAATTGGATTTGGCAAATTGCATTGTATATTTTAGCATTGGATGATTTACATATTTTAGTATTGGATGTTAGCGTTGGACGTAATTCTAAATTGCATCTCCTGCATCGTAGAAAAAAATAAAGAAATAAAATATCGTAGAAAAATAAATCTTTCCAATCACGAATTAATGTTGTAATTGAGGACGAATAATTTACTGTTGACTGGAAAAAATATAAAATACCACATAAACCTAACTTGTGCGTTGCATTTTCAAGTGTTGAACAATTAAGTTTTGAATACCAAACAGTTTTCGGACCATATATAAAGCCAAATATAAATCAATCGATATTGGGCTTTTGCAATCTTTTGGTCATTCAGCATTTACACTAAATACCCAAACGCTTGAACAAATAACTGGGAGTTTCAACTTCAATTTCTGAATGGGTTTTCAAATTAAAGTTTTTGCTAACTTATCGAAGCCATAATGTCTTTCGATTGAATTCACGGTAAATTATGTAATAGAAAATGTTTTTCCATACAGGGAATTTTACGTGCTCACTAGTGGTGAGTACCTCAATCCGCAGGTAAGGCTTATAGGCCGAGGCCTGCGATTGTGTAAGGCGGCTGCAGAAGAGAATTACCCCAAATTTATTTTTCTCCCCCAACATATCGTAACTTGATAACGACGGCTTAACAGCCGTCGTTATCAAGTTGAGGTCGGCAGTGAGGTACCCTGAGTTCACGGCAAACCGTCCATTTTCTTCATGTTGGGGGAGAAAAATAAATTTGGGGTAATTCTCTTCTGCAGCCGCCTTACACAATCGCAGGCCTCGGCCTAAGCCTTACCTGCGGATTGAGGTACTCACCACTAGTGAGCACGTAAAATTCCCTATATGGAATAACATTTTGGAGGGTGGTGGAACCAAAAGGCATGTTACGTTCACTAACGTCTTAACCATTAATTTTATACTGATTATAAACGGAAGGATGTTAAGTGTATTAGTGCGCTTAACTTATTCATTCAGCGAAGCCTAATCTTAATAAACGAGTAAACCACTATAACCCGAATAACCCTCAACCTCAATAAACCCATATATAGCTGCCTTGTACTCTTAAATCCCAAAGCCTCGCCGCAATAATTGTAATAATGGCAATAATAGTCATAACTAACTAATTCTACGGAGTGTCTGGTCTCTTAACTTTGGTTTTTCGTCGAACTTCTGAGAACGCCCAAAACGTTCAACGCTTAAATCATGTTAGCAGAAGCGAATGAGATAACAAAACAATGTGAAGCCAATAAACTTTTGATCTAATCTAGATTGAGATTTACTCTCGTTCATTAACAAACCTGCATGTGATCTTACAAACTTGCATATGAGGTGAAACAAATGAAAAAAGAACTAGAACTAATTAATAAAAGTAGCAAATTATATGAAAGAAGAACATGAATAGGGGCAAACTGATCTTAGGAGGACATCCATAGAACATTGTAATGGTACTTTGAAAAGTTTATTGAATATAGTGACTCAAATTACTCAATCATGGACAAATCGTCCAACATGGCCACCGGATACCAAAACGGAATAATCTCCCACTTCTCCTCCTCTTTTTTAAAACACAACAATATTTAATTACCACATGGTTTCGAACAATTCCCTAATCTCATTAGCATTAAAGTACTCACCTTCCATAAAAATATTCGGGGATCGCCTAGGCTTCGGCCGAATAGTCACTACACTCGGCGCAGTTTTTCTGGGTCTGCTCGGTCACCCGATCTAAATCAGTTTCTAGTCAGAATCTCCTATGTGACTTTATAGTCTCCTGAGAGGATGACAAGGGTTGGCCGATTCGAGTCATACCGAGTTAGCAAACTGCCCAGGTGGTCGAACCCTGAACCCTGAGCCGGGGTGGTCATAAAGAAGCTGATAAGTGCTCCCCGAGTCGTAGGCGGCTCTATTGCAAGGTCGAGCACACCTCTAAATTTTATTCGGGTAAAACTGACTGCGTCCAACTCTCAATTTTTGCTACCTTCTAAGTGTTCATCATCACTAAGACGCAATACAATCTACACTTGCCAATTTGAATAATCAACATGTTCATTTCTTGTGTCTTTCATTACCAGGAAAATGTCGGATTCGTTGAAAATTATGCATATTTTATTTATGTCCTGCCGTATCCTTCCGAATGCGTAGTTTTGTTGCTCAAAAAGAAACGAGGCTAAAGCCTGGCAGATTTAAGCTTCAATTTTAAATCTTAAAGCACCGCAAGAATTTAAAATGCATCACATTCATTAGTTGGAAATGAGAGCGTGCAAGAAGCCTGACGATTGGAAAAAATACCAAATAGAAACGGAAAGGTTGGCATAAATCTTGAAGCAATACAGATTTTAATGGAGAAGATAACAGTAGAACACAGAAATAACATAAAATATAGCTAATGCAAAAAATCTCATGAACTAGATTTCATGAAATATTGCATTAATGAAATTTGTGCGATTTTGCAAAATAAATATATTATTGAAATGGAGTTTTACTTGGAATGAGTTGGCACTACCTACAATTAGTTAAAATGGACCCAATCACTAAATGTTTTCGTATTAAATTCGAGTTTAAATTTTCATGTGTATTGCCTGAAATTTTTTTCTAGCTAAGAGCTATAATTAAGTCTCCGATTAAATTTTTTAATTGTGATATGTATGCTTAGGGAATTAGAATTTAGTATTTTATAATTTTGTATTTATGTAATTTTAGTTTTCAGTTTAGAAATGCAGAAGTTAGATTTGTAGTTGTAGATTATAGTCCGTCCTAGTCAGTCCCGCATTTGAACCCACAGTGTCAAGGTGTGTTATAATTTGACGAACCTGGGTGACCCCAGCAGTATAACTATTTGAAAGCCAAATAAAGAGCGTTTCCCGAAAGCAGGCATTTTCATTCAGAACTAAGCAAGGCTGATACGGACAATCGAGGAACCCAAACATCCATTTCGAAATGGCCATTGCCACTTTATTACCATCAGCAAAATCCGCAGGTCTTCAGCGCAAGCCAAATTAGATCTTTTCCAAGTTTATAATTAAAATACGAAAGCTAGCTTTCGTATTTCACCTTCACCTTTTCACCATTGGTACCTGAAAAATTTGTGATTAAGCGCTTAATCACAAATTTTTCAGGTACCAGTGGTGAAAAGGTGGAGACTTGTTACGAATGGATGTATCAAGGCAAGAACAGTTAATGAAATTCACTTTCTCTAGGTATTGAAATTTTAAAGTTCGTGTAAGGAAGTTGTTTTACTTAAGTTAGCGATGCATCTGAACGCAAAGATGAAATAAATGTCCGTCTTTGATTACATTTGTCAACTAAAAGAATAAAGGACGTTGTGGCGTGCAAGTTAGAAGTTACTTTTCATGCACTCTAAAGATAAATACATAAAAAGTGAGTACCTGAGTCAGGAGGGGGACTTAGGCCTACTCCTGCGGTTGTGTAAGGCGGCCGCAAAAGAGGATTACTCCAGATTTTTGCTTCTCCCCCAACATGAAGAAAAACGGATGGTCTGCCGTGAACACGGGGTCGGGGGCGGGCTTGGCAAAGGAGAAGCATTTGTATGCAACGGCTGCTCGCGATAAAAACCACAACACGTTAAAAAGGAGCAAATCAAATCTAATAAAAATATCATGTCTCGTTTTCGTTGAGCAAAATTTTCTCAATTTTTTTCGCCAAGTTCAAAAGCTCGAAAATTAAATGAGGGGATTCACTTCAAACTCACCTTTACAAGAACAATTTGGGAATGACACAACTTATCACCTAGTATTTTAAAACTCCAAGCTTTAGCCAAATAAATTTCTCTTCCGTGACTAAAAGAGAGAACAGAACCGTACAGAATCAATCGAAACAACCAAACTGCAGTAGGATTGACATTGGCGGTATAGGCTAAAAAAATAGTTTATTTTTTAATTTTTTGAGAGAGGGAGCAAAGCCCAACTTTCGCGCGTGAACGCATTTGCTGAATAGTATTTATGAACTAAAAATCCAACTGCCGGGAAATTTGAAACACCGCGAAATTCTAAGTCGCGAGTGGCAGATTATAACAAGCTTTAGACGGAAATAAAATACAGAGGTAAACATAATGCTGCGTTGACTATTGACAATAATTGCAGCGGTATTCATGAAGAAATGTTCTCTTGATATTACAGGTCATCACCAGTAACCTCCATAATTCAAACACGCACGTCAGGACAACACCACAAGGAGAAGCAGAAACCAGTCATTACTGACACATCATTGGATCCATTACCATGCAGCAGTGCAAGGAAGTGTGTCACGCCGTCAACTTGATGCAATCACACGAAAACCTAATCATGAAAAATGAGAAAATTAAAAAATCCGTTCTCATGATTTTGAGCCTGTAAAACAATTTGTTTTTCTAGAGTGGATTTGCTTTGGATCTAAATCAACTTGAGTACTTCGATTCAACTTCAATATACAGTAGTACAACATAAGTTTATATTCAATTCCCGATTCCTTCCATATCAACGCTCCGCCAGGCAAAAATGAGTTTTGCAATAAAAAATCTAGAAAAATGGTTAATAAACAACAAACGAGACGTATTTGGCAATAACAAGACAAAACCACAAACTTCAATACGATTCGCATCTTAATGTAAATGCAAAGAAGTATAAAACAATGGAGTCAGAGAGGCAGTCCCCATGCATCTACTTTACACATTATCGATTCCATAACTTGCAGTAACGAAGCAAGTGAGCGATCTGGAAATAATGTACTAATAAGTAATATCAAACCCTACCGCATGCAACAAAAAAATTTCTGCATCAATGCCCCAAGTTGTAGGCGTTTCACAGATGTCACATCGGCATGCGTGTTGTGCGACTGCCACTTTCGACCGTATTATGTGATCTTTGATTGCCAGTTCGGAGCATGGCGCAATATCCACAGGCGCAATATCCACGCATGGCAATCTCCACATGAAGCAATATCAACATGAAGCAACCTCAACGTGAACCCATTTGAAATCATACTGAGCTAATAATATCCTGATGGCCACAATTTCCAACAGAAATAATCCAACAGCCTCGGGGAGAAGGTACCTCGATACAGAGTACAACTAGGCTGACAAAAGGCGCCCACAGATGAGAACCGCCCCCGACTTTTGCTTCTCCCCCAGCAGGAAGAAGAATGGGTGATCGGCAGCAAACGTGGTTATGGCCATTGGACGCGCGAACTTTAGTCCCAATACAGCGGCTGTTATCGGTGAGTGAAGTTATGAGGTAAATCTCTATACTCAGTAAACCTTTCTCATTCAAATGAGGACAGTTAAAAGTCAACATGGTCGTCACTATTCCGAGCTTCAAGCTCGAGATCCGGCCGCACAGTCCATTAACCATAATAGCGGAGCATTTAAATTTATAATTCTCTATCATTGTGAATATTTTTTACGATAAGAATCTGATGTTCTACTGTTATGAATAGCAACATAGAGTGTATTGTTGATTAATTTAAGTTAAATATGCATATGCACCACATACATTTGGCTGCATGTGAATAACTTGAATTTATGAGGGGTTGGTTCAGGGTCCAAAACTTAAATTGTTTCGTTATCAAAAATAAATATTAGATGGAAGGCTCGAAAAATTTTATTTGCTGTCTGGTGGGTTTCTAAAAATATTTTTTAAAGAGTTTAATTTGTTTTGAATACAAGCCAACAGTTCTAAAAATTTCGAAACGAACGCGCATCGGATTCGTAAGTAACACATTTATCGTAGTTTCGATAACTACAAATATTCGTTGATGACGCATAAAAAATATCTAAATTAGCATTAATCTAAATTGCAAATAATATTTTTGTACGTAATAGCATAACAGGTGTAGTGTTTTTGATAACACGTGTAGTGTTTTAATTTAAAACCTCAGAAACTCACACCGAAAACCTAAAGAAGTGAAAGCCCTCGGAATGAAGTTGCAAACAATTCCCCCACACACGAAGCAGGTCTTTTAAGATTTTTTCGGATTTACTTATACCAGCTTTCACTCGCATTCTAATTAGCTGATCTTCAACTTCTAAATTGATTTTGTATAGTTAGTTATGACACTGCGAAAAAATCTAGATGTCAACAAACAGATCGATATTGAAGATCAATGATCATCATCGTTGGATCAGGATCGATTATATTATCGATATGTTTTCATCATCTCTTTCCTCAAGAAAGAAATTTGGCTACTTCGTTCATTATGCCTTGATATACATCATGAAAATCTACATCATTAACAAAAATTAAAGTAGGAAATTTGGCTGCTGTAGAGTAACTTCTAGGGATATTTCGCTGCTCTTGGTCTAGAGTAACTATACTAGGGATATTTCGCTGCTCTAGAGAAACTACTAGGGATATTTGGCTGCTGTAGAGTAACTACTATGGATATTTCGCTGCTCTGGAGAAACTATTAGGGATATTTCGCTGCTGTAGAGTAACTACTAGGGATATTTCGCTGCTCTAGAAAAACTAATAGGGATATTTCACTGCTGTAGAGTAACTACCAGGGATATTCCGCTGCTGTGGAGTAACTACTAGGGATATAAAACGAATTTCTGTAACTTTATTCTGAATATTCGACGTATTACAATTTACAAGAATGAAGGCCGTCTCAGTCTGTACAAAAATTTGGGAAAGTTTGCATTAGCCAATTTTGCAGAGTACAAAGAAAACATCGAAGGAATAATCTTTAAATCATGGAAGAAATTAGTGTTTTCCATAGCAAAGTGGAAAGCTTCTGCATTTGATCACAAAGATCCAATTGGCACCAATCCGTCCAAAAATGGAAACAGTGAATTTAATATTTCATACGCTTAAATCGCAGTGCAAGTTCAGGGTGTCAAGCTCACACACAAATTATACACAAAAATTTAAAATCGCACACATTTAATTTCCCAGTCTGACCCTGAGGACCATTAACAAATAAAATGCATATCAAACATAGAATCTTGATGTTGTTCAAAATATTAAAAACGAACTGGAAACTAGGGCCGTACTATCAAATATATTCAAGAGTTTGTAAGTCCGTCAGCTGCTGTTCAACTGACTGCTTTTCAAGCTGAACCCAACAATCACAGACGAGAAATCTACATCTACGTGTACTTGGGGAGTAACTTTACATACAAATTTTGTTGAAGAGTTGGACTTCAATGGAACATGTACGGAATTCAACGGACTTCAACGGAACAGCTTCTGTCCAACTATACCAATATTAGACTGTAGCGTCTACTTATGCGAGTTTCGATAGTAAGGCCTAGGTTATTATAAACTTAACTGTACACTAAAAAATGCGGTGCACTCACCCGTGGCAGCGGCGGCTTCACTGCCCTCCTCGTTGACGTCGATGAAGGCTTTGTGCAGCACATTGGAGACGTAGAGGTCGCCGGGCAGCCCTCCTATGCCGCTCAGATCCGCTGAAGACCCGAACATGTCGCGCACACCCAACTACCGTAGGACATAATGTCAAGAACATGTCGCGCACACCCAACTACCGTAGGACATAATGTCAAGAACATGTCGCTCACACCCAACTACCGTAGGACATAATGTCAAGAACATGTCGCTCACACCCAACTACCGTAGGACATAATAAGACTGAGGACTAGGATGACTTGATTAAGACTATGACGACTTGATTAGGACAAGGACGACTTGATTATATAGAACGGCTTGATTATGACTAGGAAGACTTGATTAAGACTAGGACGACTTTATTAGGAGTAGGAAGACTCGATTAAGACTAGGACGACTTTATTAGGACTGTAGGACGACTTGATTTAGACTAGTACTACGTTATTAGAACTAGGGCGACTAATAATACGAGGACAGAAGAGAGTGTAACATATCATAGTCACACAACCGGCCTGCATTGATTTTTAACTAACTACCATTTCACGAAATAACTTCACTGTTTTGCGAAGTACTTCCTTGCAGACCCATCTTACCTGGGGAGCCGACCGGCGCACCCTGTTTCGAGTATACCGCTCGCTGATCCGGTCTAAGATGGACTACGGCTCAATCGTCTTCTCCTCTGCAAAACCTTCAGCTCTCCGCCTGCTGGACCCCGTCCACAATAGCGCCATCAGACTCTGCACTGGGGCGTTCCGATCATCTCCTGTACTCAGTCTCTACGCAGAGAGCGGAGAACCCTCACTCAACGCAAGAAGAGACCTCCTTATGCTGCAGTATCTTGCAAGAGCCCAACAGCTACCAAACTCCCCCTCCTGCCTGAGCATTACTCAGCAATGGCCCACGACTGCCCGCCGGGTGAGAGAGTCTTTCGGTTCTCGAGCTCGCGAGACCTGTGCCCGCCTCCACCTTACAGTGCAGACTACACCCATTAGATTCTGCAACACTCCTCGCTGGCTGCTCCCCCTCTCTGTGGTCTGCCCTGGCTTCATGCAAGGCAGGAAAAGTGACCACTCAACTGATGGCATAAAATCTTTGTTTCTCGACCACGTAAATACATGCCATAGACAGTGCATGCACATATACACCGATGGCTCTAAGGACGATGGCAGAGTGGGATGCGCCGCGGTAAGCGATGCTGCGAGGAGCTCGCTGAAGCTGCATGGCTATTCGTCAATATTTACGGCAGAGCTGTACGGCATCCTGTGTGCCATCGCTATTGCCAAGGAGAGCACAGACACAAAGATATGTATTTTCAGCGACTCCATGAGTGCAATCCAAGCGATCCTACATTACAACTCGCCGCATCCGTTGGTAACCACCATACACAGATGGCTGATCCGACTCTCTGCACACCAGAAGACAATTACCTTCTGTTGGGTCCCCGGTCATGTTCGGGTGGCAGGCAACGAAGCCGCGGACGAGCTCTCACGCAATGCGGCGGCTAGAGAGACACCGCACTGGAATGAAAGTGTTCCCCATCGAGACCATTACCCATTATTTCGCAAGAAACTGCTGGACGAGTGGCAAGAAGAGTGGACACACCTTGAAAATAACAAACTCCGCAAAATTAAAGAGGATATAAGGCCTTGGCCATCATCGTCCCACCGCGTACGCCGGGTGGAGGTATGCCTCACTCGTCATCGCATTGGACACTCAAGAATCACTCATGGCCATCTTATGGAACGCGCACCTGCTCCTTACTGCATGGACTGCTTAGTACCCCAGACCGTAACCCACTTCCTCTGTGAATGTCCGTCTTATGGTGATGCCCGGCGGCAATTTTTCCCCTACCTATGCCAAGACAACCCCGACGTAAACTTAAAAAGTATTTTGACCCAACCAGAGCGAGGGAACTATAATGTTGACCGACTCGTGGAGTACTTGAGGGCAATCAATGCATTTGACTACATATGATCCGCACAACACCAAACACAAGTGATGTAATCTACCCCTATCCAATAATGTCCGATGTGACTTTCGGCGCGAGATAGCTCGACCTGAAGCGCTAGCAACTACGGCCACTGAACTAACTAACTAACTTCCTTACAGACATCTGAAATTAAAATATTGTTCATTTAACGTTGTGGCTGACTTTAAAGTAATGTTCATAATACGTTGTGTCTGACGTTAAAATAACGTACATTAAACGTTGTGTCTGACGTTAAAATAACGTTCATTAAACGTTGTGTCTGACGTTAAAATAACGTTCATTAAACGTTGTGTCTGACGCCAAAATAACGTTCATTAAACCGACGTTGAAATAACCTTCATTAAACATGGTGTCTGACGTTAAAATAACGTTCACTAAGCGTTGTGTCTGACGTTAAAATAACGTTCATTGGACGTTGTGTCTGACGTTAAAATAACGTTCATTAAACGTTTCGCCAACGAAATCATTGCGTAATCAACGTTGCTTTGACGTCATTTGCCTGGAGGGTCATAACATCGCTATCTGGCCATCATTAACTCTTAACTCATATCAATCACTAATAATTAACTTATTACTCACTGATAAATAACATTCACCGACTTGAGTGGTTTAACAAGGTCTTCATAGTGCTTGAAACGAGGGATGATGACATCCACATTGACTTTTAATTTCTTCCTTTGCTTGAAATATTTTCAGTAAATAGTAAACTACCTGAGGTTCAATATCACTCACTAATAATGACTACTTACCGCCTGGAGAGGTGCCACGAGATCCTCGGAGTACTCCATCTTGAAGCGCGGGATGGTCACTTCCACCTCAACTTTTCGCCCCGAGTCGAAGAGTTCGCGTAGGTCGACCCCCTGCAGCTTGCGCTCTACCTTTGCCAGACCCGTACGCTTGTCTGGTAGCACGATAACCAGGCTTAGGTTGCCGCCCTGTCGTGTGAGAATGTATATAGCACAAAAGACTCAAGTTGCAACTTTGTGGCAACCATGGAAACGATTTGCGAAAGACTAGAACATAACAATTCTTTGTCTTCACTTTTTATTTATTTCTAAAAATTTAAAATGAATTTCACATTTAAAACCCACAAGATATCATGTGACGTAGAAATAAAGAAGTTATATAGAATTTAAAACTCAATGCATGATCCTAACGTTTTAATTTCAAAGTGTGTACAAGGTCTTTTTTGGTAGGTCTTTTTGGTTTAAGGTCTTTTTTGGTAGTCATGAGGAACCAGACACTACGATGAAGTTCAACATGTCATTCACCGCAAAAAAGTGTTTAGCCGTGAAGAGATAATCAGTTTTTCAGGACTTAGCTTATCATGTGCATTTTCATTATAAAAAACCTATTTGCTATCAAATGTACGGAAATTTAATCACTGAAGTATAATTCCAGACTTCTGTTTGCCGAAGCTGAGGGTGGAAGAATGCTAAGACAGCACTCCAGCGTGACCTGGGGCTGCTATACGCTCGAAACACATACAAAGGATATTAAGGCGATGCTTCAGCGTGACCTGGGGCTGTTACGTTCGAAACACATACAAAGGATATTAGGGATACTGACCTGATAGTCCATGCCGAGCACGGTAGCTTTGAGATCCTTCCTAATCATGTATCTGTACTCTTCTTTGGCCTTCATCATGGGGACATTGACACTGTTTCTCCCATCAGTGTAGAAAGGCAAGTCCTGCGTCCGGGCTTTGTCAAACTGCTTCGTCCAGAGCCCCTTGAAGTAGACGGCGTTCACTAGCACCAAACGCGTTAAAGCGTCCAGTATGCCTGCGATAAGAAGTTTTTTTGGACAAAGACGTTCCAGGGCATTCGGAAAATAAATTTCAAGGTCTTTTGGAAAATGACGCTCAATTTTTATTGGAAAATAACATTCAAGGCCTTTGGAAGACGATGTTCAAGGTCTTTTTTAAAATAATTCAAGGTCTTTTGAAAAAAGTCAAGGTATTTTTGAAAAAAATTCAAGGTCTTTTGGAAAGACATTCAGGTTTTGTTTTAACGATGTTCGAGGTCTTCGGAAAGAAACATTCAAGGTCTTTTGGGTGCGGTTTTCAGAGCAGCATGCACACATTCATAGAGTGATCAGTCGTGGAATGTCAACATGACTTGCATTTACAGCGCTCATACCAGTGAGTATCTTTATCTTATTTTCGAAACTTGATAGCAACTTCCTCGGACTTTTTGACGGCATTCATCATTTCCATTTTCCATTTCCGGGCCGTCGATCCCCGTCAGGGACTTGCCCTCTTCCCTAGGGTCCCACACCAGGCACGCCCTCTGGTGCCTCGCCATGTTGGCGGCCGACAGTACCCTGTTGCACCCCGGGCACTGAGCGACCCTTCCCCTCCTGGCTCTCACCGGCTCCTCCCCCCCTCCCCCCACAACCACCTTCCCTCTCACATGCGCCAACGTCTCGTCCCCCAACACATCCCCTCACATGCCTCGCGTAATTCCCCTTCGTAATCCACGTATTGCACCTCCCGCACTGTCTCCTATCTCCCACTCCACTCGCTCCACCCGTACACGTCCTCTCATGATTCACTCTCGCACCCTCCGTTTCAACACTCATACCACATATGCTGCAAACAAAGCTCACTCGCTCCTCAGCCACTCTATGCATGCGCTTCTGGTGGTTGGTCAGGCCCGCCTTATTTCGGCAGACCTTCTCACACCCTTCATATCTGCACACCCAGTCATTCTTCTTCCAACATTCCTGTCCAGTCTCGCCACATTTGCATCCCAAGCGTACTCATGCCCTTTCTGACATTCCCACTCATACAAATGCTCCATGCGTTCTTCCACCTGCCCTTCCATCCATCCCTATCTCTGCTCAGCCACTCCACATCAGTCCAGTCCACTCCCGCTTCCAGTACAAGACAGTCTTCCTCTTACGCGCTTTCATCTTCCCGAAACCTTCTAACCTCTCATACCATCCTAGCACCATCGCTTTCGTCAGCCTCTCATTTCCCATTCTCATAACATGCATCACTCGCTCCAACACACGATTCTCAATCTTCCATCTCACACTCTTTACACTCAAGCACTTCCTCACATTTCACATGTTCACTCCTCTCGCTTGCATTTGCCTCAGAGGCTGGCCATTCCGATCACTCCACACGTATCTATAACACTTATCCATCCACTTTTGCAACCGATTCATATCCTGTACATACCACACTCTCGCCTGACAATCATACAGCAGACTACTCTCCACGCTTGCCTCCACCACCCTCGCCTGACACTTCTTAGATAGACATTCTCGAGCTCTTCAGCCACCCTTTCACTCTCCACCACAAACTTCCAGCTCTCTTGATCCTGTTATTCACATCCACTTCTGAGCTCACCCAGCTCCCAAGTACTCTGATTTCACCCCCCTCTTCTGTCCCAAACTCAAGCACCTCCTCTTTCTCCTCATTGTTTCGTTCCTCCCACTGATTCATCACTTTTTTTGCTGCTCTCACGCCATTCTCAATCTCACTCTTCACACCCACAATCGTAGTGTCATCCGCAAACAAAGCCATGGACACTCTCACACACTCACTACTCCCCTTCTCCCATGCACTCTCTCCAGCAAACGAACCCCCTGGCACCCATCTCCACGTCACCCCAACCTCTTCACCCCCGCTTCTTCTCGCCACCTCCGCTTGCCTCATTACCGCCTGATGGTACACATTAAACAAGATGGGTGACGTGGAGCACCCCTCTCGCAGACCTCTCGCAGGCACCCAGCTTTCACTCACTCCCTCCTTCCTTCTCACCTTGTACACAGTCGACTCATGCAAATCCACAATCGTATCCAGACATTTCCCTTTTATTCCATACCTGTCAAGCAGCCTCCACAAACCCGGTTTGTTCACTCTCGGATACGCTTTTCTCAAATCCAGCAGTCTCGCCACAGGCCACTCCTCTTCATTCATGCCCCCATTCTCATTCAGTTCCATTCTTCTCTTCAAATCAACCCCGTCCTCTTGCATACGAACCATCATTTGCACCACATCCGCTGTCGACCTACCCTTTCGAAAACCTGCCTGTTCCTCATCCAACAACCCCAAATATTCAGCCCACCATGCCACTCTCTTCGCTATCACCCTCGCAAGTATTCTGCTCCCCATACTCAACAGACATACCCCCCTATAGTTATTACAGTCATTTATATCACCCTTCTTGTACAACGGAATCATAACACATACTTTCAAAGATTCATCCCAAGCATCCGCTCTCTTCACAAACATTTCTCTCACCAGCTCAATCACTCTGTCTCTCACTCCTTCATCCGCCCACTTAATATATCCAATCCTCACTCCATCTTCCCCAGGCGCCGACTCTTTCATATCTTTCATAGCCGCAACAATCTCTTCTCTTTCAGGCACTTCATTCAGTCGATCATTTGCCTCTTTCGCTCTTTCACACTCTCGCAGGTCAGTCGCACCATTTACCGCCCGTTCTATCGCTCTCGGCTCCTCTTCATACCTCTCGCACGTCACTCGTTCAAAATGCTCCTTAAATTCATTCACACAAATATTCGTACATGCTCCTGCCTTACATCCCCTCGTGCCAATTTTCCTCAAACACTTGTACATGTCACCCACTCTCCCTGTCGCACACGCTTCCTCACACTCCCTAATCTTATTCTCCCACCACTCTCGTTCAAGCCGCCTCAACCGTCTTCGCAAAGCTCTCCTCGCCTGCTTCACCTCCTCTCTCGCTCCAGCCACCTCTCTCTCCAGCCTCTCCATCAGTCTGCCCTCTCTCCTCTGCCTCAGCCTTCTCCTATTCCCCACCAGTTGCACCCTTTCATTTCTCAAACGCACCGCGCACTCACTCTCTCATTCAACGCATTTAGCTCATCTTCATACCCAATTGTCCAGGGATTCTGAACCCCCTTCTCACATTCTCCACATACTTCTTTCGCCGCCTCAGTCATCACCTCTGCAAGCACCTTCCATTTATTACATTCATTTATTCTCTCATTTGCCTCAGTCATCCTCTCATTCGTTTCCACCTTGTATTCCTCCCTCTTCTCCCATTCTTTCAACACCTCCCACTTTATCCTTGGCACTCTTCTCGTATTCCCTCCTGGCGCTCTCCATCTTCTCCCCTTCACTCTCACAGTCATCACTACTGGCTTGTGGTCCGACAGCTCGTATTCTCCATCTGTCCTCATCTTTCTTACCATCCACCTCCTATCACTCTTCCTCATCACAAACCCATCCAACTCGCACCATCTACCATACCTCACATTAAACCACGTCCCTCTCCTTTTATACTTCATGTATGTAATGTTGTATGTAGGCTGCAAATTCCCTACTTGCATTCAGACCGTAGAGATTATGTATACCGGTGCTGATGTAGGCCGAGGCTGGTAATAGTAGCTGTGTCAATTCCGGCTTGCGTGTTGGTGCCTCGCTTACAGGGGATTACCTGACAGTCGCCTAGGTGAGCTTTATTTTGCGTTACTGTTGAATACCGTTACTGTATTATGCGTTATCGTGTTTCATGTTAATGTTCTGTGCCTTTGTGTGTGTTTACTTATAGATGGCTTATATTGTAAATAATTAATCTGGCGTCATGTAAAGCCGTTGCTAGGGTAGTCATTAGGCGTATTAATTAACAGTGTACTTACTATGCTTATTTCTCTTCTAGGATCAAGAGCTTTGTCCCTCAGTTAGCTCGCTCTCTCTCTCCTCCGCGTCTTAGCTCCGTAGTAGGCTATTTGTTAAACTTCTTAGTTAATAAACCTTCAACTTGCATTTGTTATAAAATCCCGCCACGCCTTAAGCATTGCTTCGTAGCCAATTGGTAGCTGTTAACCTATTCAGCTTCCGGTAATTGGTGGGTGAGACAACTATGGTCAATGCGAATCGCTAAGTGAGGTTACCGGCGATTGGTGGTCAGAGGCTGGTTCATCACAAAAATATCTTCTCCCCTTCACTCTCACAGTCATCACTACTGGCTTGTGGTCCGACAGCTCGTATTCTCCATCTGTCCTCATCTTTCTTACCATCCACCTCCTATCACTCTTCCTCATCACAAACCCATCCAAATCGCACCATCTACCATACCTCACATTAAACCACGTCCCTCTCCTTTTATACTTCATGTAGCTATTCACATACTCCAACTCATGCTCCCCACACCAATAAATCAGATCCCATCCTGCTTCATTCATATTTCCTATACCATACCTTCCGCACGCCCCTTCCCTTTCATTCCATCTTCCCACATTCGAGTTGAAATCTTCCCCTATAACCAATTTCTGACTTCCCCCACACGCAAATTGATTCTCAACCGCTCTTCTGTACCTCTCCATACCGTCATCGTTCGTTCCCCAAACAGGCTGATAAACAGATACCAGACGCAACCCTCCCAACACCACAACAGTCACTCTCTCCGCAAACCATCTCTACAGTCCCTCTCCCACCCACACCTCTAACGCCTCACCCCTCAAAACCACGGCCGACTTCTTCCCATGTACCACCGCCACTCTTTCCTTATCCTCTCCCAGCCACAACACACCCTCATCATCAGCTCTTATTTCACTCAGCAAAGTAATCGCATACCCTTTCCTCACAATCTTCTCTATCACTCTCCTCAAACGCCTCCTATTATGCTCTCTCATAGACAGTCTCTGCACATTATACGTCACAATCACTCTCTCACTCCTTTGCCTCCCAACCACAACCTCATCCTCTCTCTCTATCTCTCTTCCTCCTCCGACCCTCGTGACGCCTTTCCCTCCTCTCTTCTCTTCGCCTCTCTCCCACTCCCCTCCGCCCCCTCCAGTTCCTCGGCCCGGGGTGCGGGTGAATGGACCGGAGTCCAATCACCCTAAGGGCCGCTGCCAGCGTGTCCAAAACGGCTCGCCACCGTCCGGCAGGCACTAATGCAGGCACTCGCCTTGAAAGTTTTTAAAGAGAGGTCCGGGGCGGCAAGTCCCATCTTCCTCTGTTGTGAGCGGGGGGGTGTTGGGCATCTCCCCTTGCGGCTTGATCCCACATTGCCCCCCGCCCCCTGGTGGATCATTGCCGCACCAGGGGCCAACAGCTGCTGGCCCCGGGCGAGTCCTCCTTGCGCCACAGGAGGCGAACCGCCGCGCAAGGACGGCATTCATCATTCCCTTCTTCCAACATGGTGAAGGTGATGTTGGAAGAACGGCATTCATCATTCCCTTCTTCCAACATCATCATCACCATCACCGAAAACACCATCACCACCAACACCATCATCACTTTCATCATCATACCTTCAGGTATGAGGTTCTTGATCTTGTTCTTGGTTGCTTCCTCGACCGCCTGGTTGATCTCTTGACGCACTGCTTCTGTCTGGCCACCGAAGTCAACCACCTGGCAGATCAGATCATATCAGTCAACCACCTGACAGAGATCATATCAGTCAAAATACAGCACAGGTGTTACTAAGGTAATACAACACTTGATTACTAAGGTAATACAGCACCTGGTTACTAAGGTAATTATACATCAAGAGGCATTACCTTAGCAGCGGCCTGGAAGTGCTGCGTTAGGGCATCGGAAAACTCCTGCTGTAGGTCGAGCTTGTGCGAGACGTACATATTGTTGGCGACATGAAGTTCGTACAGCTTCTGCACGCCTTCCTGCGGTAAATATACACTTCATTGTCATCGTAAGCTTCATTTTCATCGTATATTAAGGCAAAATATTCGCGTCAGACCATCCTGTAGGCAAAATAAACTTCATGATCATTGTAAGTTGAAAGGAAAAATACGAGCAGATGCAATAAAGAAGTGAATATGATTCTACCTTTTACTTCATTTAAAGTAAAAATGGAATTATGAAACCCAATTTCATGTAAAGAAGTTGTATTTAGACTGCATCAAATGTCCAAATCGGACAATAGCGGCTGATTTACGTGCTCCCTGAGTCCTTGCTCCCTGAGTTGCAGACACTGCATGGTTAACATTTAAATTTTGTTTGGGTCGAACTATACATGATTTACAATAAGTATCGCCATGCCACACTAGCATCATATTAGACAGTGACATGACCTAGATTTGTAGATTTGGTGTAAAATGCGTCTCTTAAATGTTCGAAATAACAACATATAATAATTTTTCGGTCGTATTATATTTTATAATAACGGTGAAAAACTGTCTGACCGGCGTTCTAGTGGCGCCCCGCGTCAGTGAAATTAAATCATACCATCATTTTATTTCCAAGCATCGTTCAAATTTCATTTGTTAACTTGAAAGAAAAGTGCCACATCGTTTCATTTCACGGTTCGGCTGGCCACTAAAATGCCTTTCAAACCGTTAAATTATGTTTTCCCGAACAGTGTACACCATATTTGTTCTGCACGGCAGTACTAAACATGCGACATACAGGAATTTTCTTGAAGATACATCATATAATCAATATAAAATTAAACTGCAATATTCAATATAAAGTCAAAATACAGTATAAAATATTATATAAATAAATTATTATATTAAAAAAACCCTACGTACAGGAATTTTGTTGAAGGCATCAAGAGCGGCAGCGAAGGCAGTTTTAACAGCATCGTTGGAGTGAGGGTGAAGCTTGAGGGCAACCGCGAGCTGATCGCGCGACGTTTGTTTAGCGCCCATGAGGGTCATGCTGAGGGCTGTCATCACGCTTAGTGGTGAGAAGAACAGGTTTTTGTCTGGAGCTTTCTCCGACAAAACCTGCGTAATATAATTATTGCGTTTAAATCTCTATCTACTGAAGGAAATCTTCGCCGACAAAACATGCATGCATAGTAATTGCGTATAAATATTTCTTATAATGAGTCAACGACTCATGGGCCAAGTCTCAAGACGTAAGATAACAAGTTCCATGATAACTAAAATTAAGCCGTGTTGAAAAATTCTTAAATTCTTAACTAAACTCATTAATTCCAAACCATTTTTATAGCATTATAAGGCTTCAAAATATAAATGCAGAAGGCTACTAACTAACCTTGTACATGTCGAGGGTGAAAGCGTTGAGGCTGATCGAGATGTTGAGAGATTTTACTTTAGACATGTCGGCGCGCGATGTGAACAGCGACGTTTCAACCAACAGCACAACAGGCGTTAACAGCAGCAACAGTAACGTCAATAGCAGTAACCTGAAAAAACAGTTGTGAAAACATGCGTCAAAAGTAGTAAAGTATTCTAATTTAATATAAGCTAATTACGAGTCAACAGCAGCAACGACACATGATGGGATAGCAAAAGGGGATAGCATAAGCTGAAAGGAAGACAGCAAAGGCAAAAAAATACAGCAACAGTGAAGGTGAGATGGCAACAGCGAAAAATGAGATAGCAACAGTGAAAAGAGAGATAGCAACAGCGAAAAGAGAGATAGCAACAGCGAAAAGAGAGATAGCAACAGCAAAAAGTGAGATAGCAACAACGATAAGAGAATTAGCAACAGCGAAGAGATATAGCAACAGCGAAAAGAGATAGCAACAGCAAAAAGTGAGATAGCAACAGCTAAAAGAGTGATAGCAACAGCGAAAAAAGAGATAGCACCAGCGAAAAGAAAAATAGCAACAGCGAAAAGAGAGATAGCAACAGCTAAAAGAGTGATAGCAACAGCGAAAAAAGAGATAGCAACAGCGAAAAGAGAGATAGCAACAACGAAAAGAGAGATAGCACCAGCGAAAAGAGAGATAGCAACAGCGAAAAGAGCGATAGCAGCAGCGAAAAGAAAAATAGTAATAGCTAAGACAGTGACAGATAGCAACAGCGAAAAGAGAGATAGCAACAGCGAAAAGAGAGATAGCAACAGCGAAAAGAAAAAGTTGCAACAGCGAAAAGAGAGATAGAAACAGCTAAAAGAGTGATAGCAACAGCGAAAAAAGAGATAGCACCAGCGAAGAGAGAGATAGCAACAGCTAAAAGAGTGATAGCAACAGCGGAAAGAAAGATAGCAACAGCGAAAAGAGAGATAGCAACAGCGAAAAGAGAGATAGCAACAGCGAAAAGAGAGATAGCAACAGCGAAAAGGAGAACAACAACAGCGGAAAGTGACTGCACTAGAAATTTGATGGACAAAGGGACGCTACAGTGCCAAGGGTGAGGGTCCACAGCCCTACGTTATCAAGGGCAGAGAATCGATCGGATGGAATGTACACAAACAAACAAGCGGGCAGTTTGCCAATGACAAAGAAGGCCCTAAATGGAAAAACATCAACGAAAATTCGTGAAGATACCTGAGTAGAAGAACTTAGAATCAAGCACAAAATAATAAATCTCTGCTGAACATCGTGAAGCTAAGAAACCAACCGAACATCCACCAATAAATATAGATCTTCACACTCCCCGTGTCTATGCTGTCGCGCATGAATGCAAGCAATAATAAGCATGCGCAAAGTATGTCCTTCATAAAAACAATAGGTATGCGCAAAATATGTCCTCTGTTCAAACAATACGTATGCCCTATATACATACAATAAGTAGGCGCAAAGTATGTCCTCTGTTCACCCAAAAATACGCCCAGAAAGAAAGGATCTGGCTGCACGAATTCTAGGTTTCATCGAGAATGATTGACGTGTTCCCGACACACATTTAAACCATAAACGTGCAATATCGGCCTAAAATTTTAATATCTTCGCTCTTGATATTATTATTTATATCAATACATTTCAAAGAACTTACTTTCAATTTTTTTATCTAACACTCCAACATCCAATAATGTTATACCTCATGGACCTTCCACTACACGCAGATAAATGAGCGAGACTTTGTCCAAATAGCGCTGCACTTATTACCTTGTGTGGGTCGTCCTTACCTACAGTTATTCCGGCAAATATTCCTGTCCATTATAATATGTATCTGTAGAGGCCGTTGAGTTTTCGAAGTGTTCGGAGTTTCACACTTTCGTCGTACGAGTCTCGGAGCTTGTTTAATTCATCGGTGATATTAGGACGAAGTTCAGGGTTTTGGATGTACTGAGGTAGACGTTGAATATTCTCGGAGTTTTCAAGTTTCAGATTTTTCATTTCTTGACTGTTAATTTTGAATTGTCTTCGGATGAGTTCTTTTTATACGTAAAAGTTATATTTTCATCTCTCGCTGCCGGGTAATGAGTTCGAATATTAATGTAGTTAGGCAGAAGTTCTTTCTTTATACAGGTTTGATTGAAGACCAGAGCGTACTTTTTATTAACAATTTTCTTATAGTTTTTTTTTCGATGAGCCGAACGAAATTTCTTGCAGGTGCTTGAAGATCAAAAAGCAGATTACCAAATGACATTTTACAGGAATGCGACGTTTCGAATATATCAATATTCATTATCAAGCAAGTGAAGAGTTATTTCAACGCCTAAAATTGAAATTTGGACATGACATAAGTTCATACAGAAAGTATCGTAGATACGGCTTAAAATCGAAAATCAAATTAATCCGAGAATAATTTTAACGTCCTGACGAATCCGGCGCTTTGCAAATTGATAGCAGGAGACTCGTCCTTGATGATGAGAGCCTCCGCTATCGACAGTCTCGCAGTGTCGGGGCACCGCATGACGATGATGGTGCAGGCCTCCATCGTGGCACGGGTGATGGTCTCGTTGTGGGCCTCCCGCATACGATTCTTTGGTCCTCCAGCTTGCAGATGGCATGTGAGTCTGCGGCTCAATGTCGTGCTTGTCAAACCAAGGTAATTTACATTTTGGAGAAGTCTACAACCTTCTTTCAGGCAGGAAAATTTTGAAATGACATTGGTTTCATGTAGCGGTCCGGACTTTTTGCACGGATTATATTTCATGATTAAATTCTTGATCTTTTTGTTTCTGTAGTAAATCAAAAGTTGTAATCGGTCAGTTACTGACGCAACCTCTTCATGTTTATTCATCTGTTCGTTTTTGACGTGCTCTGATATTTGGAATTTCTTTGTCAATCGTTTTGTTTGCATAACCGTTGTTGACAAGAATTTGTTTGCAGGTTCAGAGTTCAGTTTTTAAGTCACGAGGAGATGTACAGGTCTTGAGCATTCGATGTATGAGGGCGCGTATGGTGCTGATTTTGTAGCGCTGGGGACATTAACTTTCTTGGTTCAGGACCTTTCCGACGTCTGTAGGTTTCCGATAAAATTTAGTGACGAACGAATTATTATCGTCTTACACCAGTATGTCCAGAAAAGGCAACGTGTGATTTTATCCGAATTCGTAAGTGAATGTCAAAACGGAATTGCATTCTAAGGCCGCGTGCAGCTCCATCATGTGAACTTCGTCTCGAACGATGACGAAGATGTCGTCGACATATCGACAGTAAAGGTCAGGTTTAATTTGTGCATCCAACAATACACGGTTTTCGAGTTCGCACATGTAGAATTCGGCAAATGTTGGACCAAGATATCTGCCCATAGCTACACTGTTAATTTGCTGGTATATTTTGTTATCTGGGGTCCGAAAAAGCGATTCTGAAGTACATAGGCGGAGGAGATCAAGTAGAATATTTTTAGGGATTGATGGGGCCGGTAAAGTTTCATTAGAGTATACATATTTTTCTATTATTTCTAAAGTTTGTTCGGTTGGGACGTTGGTGAATAGGCTATTGACGTCAAGTGAAGCGAGCTGACCAGATGGGCGCCGATTGCGAAGGATCTCCAAGAAGTCTTCTCTAGATCTGAGTGAAAATCTCTTCGGTATGTATGGTTTTATTATAGCATCCAATTCCTGGACTGTCCGGTAGATTGGAGAGGTAACTTGAGCGATTATGAGCCGGAGCGGATTATTCTACTTGTGATTTTTAACATTTCCGTAGAGGTAACCTGGCAAAAAACTCCCGACGATCGGGGTTAGCTTTCTTGAGCCGACAACTAAGTTCGCTGTATTTATTAATTTGTTGGCTTTTCTTTGAAGTTGTTCTGTAGGGTCTCGTCCGACGCGACGGAATTTTGACTCATCCGATATGATGTCACTTATTTTTGAAATATAGTCAGTTTTGTCCAAAATGACGAAGATGTTGCTCTTATCAGCTTTTCGAATTAAATTATTTTTTTTTCGTTATCGCGCAATTGCTTTGCTGTTAGGCGTAGAGCTGGGGTTAGGACTTTTGAGGTCGATGAGCCACGCTGTTTGGTGGCTTCGACGCGTAATTGGTCTTTTAGGTCAAGCTTGATGTTAATTTTACCTTCGTTTTTTAGTTTCAAAAGAGAATAATATAGCATTTCGGGTTAGATTTTCTTCTTTGTTTTGCTGAATTTGGACATCAAATGACAATTCAGTCCGAGGTTTAGGAGTTCCAATTGCTCCCTGCTCAGAGTGTGGGAGGAGAGGTTGATGAATCCTTCAGTACTATTAGGATGACAGATGTCCCCTCTGTAGTTAGTAACGTAATATGACCAAAGAATCATATGCGGGAGGCCCACAACGAGACCATCACCCGTGCCACGTTGGAGGCCTGCACCATCATCGTCATGCGGTGCCCCGACACTACGAGACTGTCGATAACGGAGGCTCTCATCATCAAGGACGAGTCTCCTGCTATCATTTTGCAAACTGTCGGATTCGTCAGGACGTTGAAATTATTCTCGGATTAATTTGATTTACGATTTTTAACCGTATCTACGATACTTTCTGTATGAACATAAAAAGGAAAGGAGCAAAAGGAACTCCTAAACCTCGGACTGAATTGTCATTTGCTGTCCAAATTCAGCAAAACTAAGAAGAAAATAGAACTCGAAATGCTATATGATTCTCTTTTGAACTAAAAAATGAAGGTAAAATTAACATCAACCCTGACCTTAAAGACCAATTACGCGCCGAAGCCACCAAACAGCGTGGCTCATCGACCTCAAAAGTCCTAACCCCAGCTCTTCGTCTGGCAGCTAAGCAATTACGCGATAACGACAAAACTGTAATTCGAAAAGCTGATAAGAACAACATCTTCGTCATTTTGGACAAAACTGACTATATTTCAAAAATAAGTGACATCATTTCGGACGAGTCAAAATTCCGTCGCGTCGGACGAGACCCTACAGAACAACTTCAAAAAAAGCCAACAAATTAATAAACACAGCGAACTCAGTTGTCGGCTCAAGAAAGCTAACCCCGATCGTCGGGAGTTTTTCGCCAGGTTAAACTCTACGGAAATGTTAAAAATCACAAGGAGAATAATCCGCTCCGG